ATCTGTATTTTCTTGAGGTTTGGCGAAGCTGGATGAGATTGTGTTACAAAAGGCAATATAAATTTTCTTCTGTGTGCGTCTGTTGTTTTAAGTATACTTTCTTTCCCGCAGAAAATTACTCCGGAGATACGTTCACAACCTCTATTATACTCTTTTCTTTAAGCTTGTTATGAAACTCTGTACTTTTTTTTTTATTAAACGTGGGGCGTGACGAATTCGTTCTTAGCAGGCGAAGGGCTTCCTCTTCTACGAATCCCGTATTTACGCCAATGATGACACGAAAAAAGGTTCGTGTATCAGAAGGTCTTTTTAATGCTTTTAATATAAGACTCACGTCTAGGAATGTATTTTCTGAATTTTTTATTATTCACACAGCATATGAAAGTCACGCTCAACGAAAGGCTCTATCGGATATTGCGTGACACCCGCCGTGACCCGACTGACCAAAGAATCTGCGAATTTTAGAAGATTTCGCTCTCTCTCTCTCGTTTAAAGAATGTTATCGTTCTGTTACCTCCAGATTATGAAAGCAAAATCTTTAGGCTTTACGTAGAGGTGTGAATTATACCGGTAAACAATAATCTTGTACTGGCAAATAAATCTTTTGTGTTGCTGACTCGCGATATTTTATGAAGCTTTGACCTCATTTTTCGAGATGGGGAAAGACTCTGGCCGAGGTTTCTACAACTCATGCTCCCATCTGCGCGTTACCGCCAAATTCGAAAAGAATAATAAATTCCGCGTATTTTGATGTATAATTCATTAGGGTACGGTTAAGTTTCGGCCTGGCAAATGGGCCTTGAAGTCAACGCTTTAGTTCTATTTCTGCTGCTGACCTTTGTAAACAGCGCGAGTGCGATATAAGAGGAATTCGAGCGAGCAGAACCCGGAGATGTTCCTTCATTTACGTACGAAATAAACAAGTAAGTATCCATTCAAGCTTAGTTAATTTATTCGAAGATTCATTGTGTTAAAGAGCCTTTTCGTCTTGTTTTGTAGCTACCTCATCTATTCAGTCTGTAAGGAACTAGAAAGGAAAATCGACGACTTAAGTACCGAGTCCGCTTCGTCGGCAAGAATAAAAAGAATTTTCGAAGAGTCTGCGCTAAGAGGTGTAATCATCAACAGTCGTATTGTTAATGTCTTCAAGAAGAAAATTTCGCTTCTTCTCTCGGCATTGAAGAAAGCTGGTCAAAAAGGCAGTCGCCATGTTAAGAAGCTTTAAGAAAAATGGCAGAAAGAAGCGTACTCATTCAAGGTATTTTATGATGAAATTGAAACATGTCAGCTACACTAGGAGAACAGGGGTGTGCGTGGACAAAAGAGAAAGCTGGAAGCATCCCTCGCAAATGAACAGGCGAAAAGGCTAAAGGTAGAAGAAAAACTCGAACAGGTACTTAAGAAGACAGAAAAGAAGGATGAAAACTACAAAAAGAAATTTAAGATTCTAGCGCGTAAAATTACAAAACTATAGAGATGGAAAGAGAGGGCCGGACAAAAAGAAAAAAATTATCGATTATACGAAACCGCATCAGTCACGTCTTCGACAACAGATGAAGGAAAACTGTCAGGCAACACTATCCTTCCTTGGATTGAATGATTTTATTGCCACAAAAGTAGAAGTTTTCAATGGCGAAACTCAACAGTACGAGACATTTCCTTGATTGATCAAAACGAGCTTCCACTAAAGGACAACGACTCAACGGAGCTGACAGATGAAAGTTTGGGTGACATTAATATGTGGATCTATATTAAAGGTAGATTTAACATTTCAAATGAGGCTTGGCATGAGTTGGCCACGAAAACCAAACAGATGCCAAACAATTATAAAAAAGAGAAGAAATTAAAGGACTTTAATGCAAAATGGGATCTCCAACCCACACCTGGCCAAGCCAAAGGAGTCCAGTTGGGTTTTAAAGAATGTTTAGAGGAACAAGTAATCAGGCTTCAGGGGAAAGGAGTTTTTAACATGAACACTAAAACAAAGGTAAAATTAGTGGGGATGGGACTAACATTGGCAAAAGGCTCAAAATTGTTAATGTAACTTACACAAATTATATTAAATGAAATAGATATTGCAATGAGTGAAAAAGGCAACTATATTCTTGCCATAATCAAAACTACTGTAAGCTATGATAATTTAAAGGCAAGCATTGCAGATCTTACTGATGAAATGCTGAATTTAAAGGAAATGTGTGGGTGATTATAAATATGACATTGAATACTTTTTGGGAGGGGATTGGAAGTTCTTAGCTTATGTGTGTGGTTTGGGTGCAGCAAATCAGGATTATGCCTGTATTTGGTGCAAGTGTCCCAGGAGTGAAAGGTTTGATGCAGCAAGAAGTGGTCCCTCACAGACAGGTCCCTTGGTGTAAGATCATGTGAAGAAATAACCAGCAATGCAAAATCTAAGAAGTTTAATTGTAAATCAGAGCCTTTATTTTCTTTTATTCCAATTGATCATGTCATGATTGACAAACTTCACTTATTTTTGAGGATTTCTGACAACTTGATTGAGCTTCTTATCCAGCAACTTTGTAGGGAAGATGCTATAGATGAAGTGAAAACTTTTCCTAGTGGATTTACAAGGGAGAAATATAAACATATGGCTGGATATGAAAAGTTTCTGAAGGACATTGGTATTCCCTTTGACTGGAGTAAACAAAGACTCCAAGAAATTAGAATATAGAGACCTTACTGGACCAGAAAAACTGCTTGTTATGCAAAGCATAAATTTCCAATCACTCCTTCCCAACTTCAAGCAAACTAAAGAAATGGAGAAACTATGGGCCAGTTTTATGGAAATTATTGGAGACCTGAAGCTTGAGTTTACAACTGATGATGCTATCACTCAGTTAACAAATAATCATGGTTTGATAAGTTTCTATGCTTGTATCAAGCCAAAGATGTTACCCCATACATGCATGCACTATATGCTCATTGCCTGAATTCTTAAAACTCTATTTAAACATATCCTATTTTACAAAACAAGGAGAGGAAAAATATAATGATACTGCAACCAAACACTATTTTAGATTCTCAAATCATAGGGGAATTTCTGCTCTAAAACAGATTCTCTTGAAGAAAAATAGAATACAGCTCTTAGAAGCAGCTGGCATGGAGAGAATAAAGAAAAGTTACAAGTGTAGGAATTGTGAAGGTCTTGGTCATACCATAAAGACATGCTCTGCTAACTTTACGAAATGCCAGACTGCAGTTTGTTGTGCACACCCTATTAAAGTTGATGGAAGGTGGACACAGATGTACATTGTAAATTTCTCTCTATTGACTTTAACTTTGAGGGCTAGGCTTCCTAGTTGACATGTTGATTACTGTAAATATAAATAAATGTAATATCTATGGTTAGTTAAGATATTCCAAAACTCTTTAAACTTTAGTGTAAACAAATATTTTCATTCACTCAATTTCAATAATTAACTGACAATGATTATAAACTGATAATAAAATATATTCAAACAACAATAACTGTAGATGTGTGATTGTGATTAACTCTTCAATTTACCAGTCCCCCCTTGTTATGTACTAATGTCTATTTCCATCTCCACGAACAAAAGTAAAAACAAGCTGATGGTCATCTTCAATTTCTGACCTCACATACTTTCCCCCTATGAGCTTGTATTCTATTATAGGGTTCCTTTCTGTAAACCAAAATCTCACAGTTCCTTCTGTCACATAAGCATAATCACCATTTGCGTTTAAAATCCATCCATCCCATTTGACCCCCAGAAAGGTGTCTAGGTCGTGATTACAAATCCGATAGACTTGCTTGTTTCTTTCCCTTCTTGCACGTGCAGCAATACTCACTTCGAAAACATCCTCTTCCACAGGAATTTCAATCCTGATTTCTGGATCGTACTTCCTTCCAGAGTATAGTTTACGCTTCACTTCCCCACACATGCGGTCTTGGAAGAGATGCAAACGATCGTCTATAGATTCCATGGATGGTGTAAATTTATGTTCCAATCGCACAATAGTAAAGGTTTTACCATCATATGGCCTCCATTCGTCGAATTTATCACTAAATCCGTTAAACTGTATTTTTACTCGCTAGCCTTCTTTGTCGACCTCTTCCAACGCAATTTCGTAAAGGCGATTGTCCTTTTGACGCTTTGGCATTCCGCCCTTATCAGCTACAGCTTTTAACGGGTTTATTTCATTGATTAATCGCTTTGGGGCTTTGATTTCTCTTTCCACTCTGGCCGCCATGTTTGTTTTTATCATTTGCGCACTAAACTCTTGGTCATTCGCGAGAGTCTGGAGAGCCTGCAAGTTGAAGCAAATGTTAACCCTTGTATGAAATAACTTTGATATGCATCGGCTGTGAATGTAACTGCTGTCGTTTGTGTATATTAGGGACCTTAAGCAGTCGAGACGGCAACCCCAAGGAAGAATTCGTTTAAAAAATAAATTGCTGCCTTTAATTAGAATTTAAAAAATGGCTACATTTATTCACCGTCTCATACAGCGTCACACTTCAGCATAACGTATAAAAGAAGCGTCGAGTTCCGAATGGAAATTAAAATAATTTGCCGTTGCGGTTTCGGTTCGCAGACGACGCAAATTGACGTGATTTCTCGTTGCTGTTTTGCATAGGGAGGCTAAGAAATGTACTAAGTTTTAAAACGCACGTGCTGAGCTATTGTTTCGCCAATTAGATCTTTTATTTTTCCATGTCCTTGTTGCCGTCGCCGTCGTGGTTTGCTTAGGGTCCCTATTCTTAGGCAGGACTGCAGTCTCGATTCTTTCTGAATCTCGTCAGTTGCCTCGAAAAGGAGGAACGACAAGAATCGCGCAGGCCTGTAAACACTTTCGGAGGAACGGCAACAGACGATGAATCCTCATTGCATTCCACTTATATTCACGCCACCTCGCTGCCACCAAAGGTTCACTTGATCGCGACAGTTGCAACTGACTCATATTTTGTGTTGCGACCATGATGCAACGCGATCAGAGTGCACATACCGCGTAGACCGAGCGGAATTAGAAAGGCAATCACAATCAAGATATTGTTTGAAGGTTTTAACTTACATCCTTACCTCCAACCACAAATTTGCATTAAATTTAAAGAATTTGCACGCCGAACTTCACAGCGCAAAACAAAGGTACGAGAAAAAGGTTTTAATTGTTAAAATACTCGAAATTGCCGATGTGTGATGAAAGTCTATCGCTACTACTTTCAAGGGAAAACAAAGTGTACATTAGCTTCATGTATGTTAGCGCTAATGTTACTCACATGTTGTGTGTCCGTTTTAGTTTCTGGCGATTTCTGCCGTTTCAAGCTTGTTTTGCCAGTGATGGCAAAACAAGCTTAAGACGGCTGAAATCGCCAGAAACTACAACGGACACACAACATGTGAATAAGTTCTGTTGATTTTACGCGTAGAATGTTCATATTTCGAAATATTTGCCAGTGGTGGCGAAACAAGCCTAAAACGGCGGAAATCATCAGAAATTACAACGGACACACAATTTGTGAGTAAGTTCTATTGATTTTATGCGTAGAATGTTCATATATCGAAACATTTATCGTTGTAAATCGACCGTATTTCGTTCCCCATACTATTCTTTACAGCGTGTTGAAGTATGTTGTTGTGGTTAACGAGTCACACAACGCGTGACGCTTTCATGAATTAATCGTTAACTTTTTCTCGAGGCGTGAGCTTGGGCCTGTGTTGTCAGGTGATGTCTACATTTGTGAAGCAGACAAACTATTTTGCTTTTGGAGTTAGGGTCAAAAACGCTATCAATAGCTTCGAGTCTCATTCCGGGTGAAAGGTAACGAGGGCTGCAATAGAGCAGGTTGGTTGAATTTTTTTTTTTTTTTACTACAGTAAGTCCTTGTAATATTACTGATTTATATGAACTCGAGGACATTTAGTAATCTTGGTGGAAGGGAGGACACGATATGAGTGAATAATTTCCTTTCCGAGGGACGTAATGTTGTATGAAAAGCCCTTTTACGCGATTTGGCTAGTTCCTCAGCTTTCATGGTATTATGACTGTCAAATTATCAGTGCCTTGTTGGGTTCATCAAACGACAATGTGGATTTGAAAGCAAGCACGAAGTAGTTTCGCAATCGTTGAATTTAGTCCTGATTGAAAATAACTACATTGTTGTTTTAAAAAAGATGCTCTGATTTACTTGGGTAGGATCTTGTCGCTCATTAATGTTAAAGTTCGTATTTTCACAAACGCGCGCCATTTGATGTCAATACAGAGGTCGATCATAAAGTTCGTTTGTAGATTCTTGGCGAAAGCAAGTAAAATCACGAGCGAAGAGCGTTATTCTTGGCCACGCTATATTGACAAATTTCAGAATGAGGATGGTGACCATGGATTGAAAACAGAACTGTCCTTTCTTTACGTAGTTTTCAGCTACACGGCTCTATACTAGGATGTCTAACCGAAAAAGGTTACCATTCTAAGTTAAAGGTTTACAGACGTTCACTTAAACAGTTGTCAAGGTCAGCCTTCATCCATGCTGTGTGACCTTATGGCCGAGACCCCCGATTGACCCGACTCGAAAGGGCGAGAATGAGGATGGTGACCATGGATTGAAAACAGAACTGTCCTTTCTTTACGTAGTTTTCAGCTACACGGCTCTATACCAGGATGTCTAACCGAAAAAGGTTACCATTCTAAGTTAAATGTTTACAGACGTTCACTTAAACAGTTGTCAAGGTCAGCCTTCATCCATGCTGTGTGACCTTATGGCCGAGACCCCCGATTGACCCGACTCGAAAGGGCGAGATTTGTAGTATTATTTCGTGTCAACACAAGCTCCAAAGCTTAACCGGGTTGATACAACAGTTCACTTGAAGATTCTCGGCGAAAGCTGATAAAAATAACGGGTGACCGAGTTCGCTCGGTCACGCAGTGACAAAACTGATAATGAATGAAGGTGTGGGGTCCAGTTCAAACGTAGCAATAGATAGCACACACGTACTTGGTCCAGGAGACGAATTTTAAAAGTTATCAGCTGCATAAGAACACATTAGTCATATTAGCGTAAATAATAAAATTTGCAATGCCTACAGATCCGAATATAATTATGCCTAATATTTTTTCACTTTAGCTCTAAACAATATGTGCCACTAAGTCCTTCGGGAAAGGAAAAGCAAGAGCTAAATAAGCGTGAAGCACAAGTTGAGGGAAAATTAGATGAGCTGGATCGAATAGTTTGTAGTAGTCAAAACCTCGACCAGGCTCGTCTCGGGTAAAATTTCCGCACAGCCCTATACTATTGTTAAACAAATCTGTTTTCCCTAAGACAATGTATTGTTTTTGTCATTGTTTTCTCAATCCAAGAACTGAATGCATAATGAAGGATAGGGCTGTGCGGAAATTTTACCCTGGTCTCGTTCAAGAACAAGATGAAATATATTTTAGAGGGGCTCAAAGGTCTCATTGAAAGATAACGAAAAGGAGCGCTTTTTCGATCTAATTGTAACTCAGTCGAACAGGATAAGAAAACAAGTGCGTACAACGGACCGGGCAATTCTTTCAACCGATCAGGTGCGTACAACAGAAGGAAAAAATTTTCAACTAATCGAATAAGCGCGTACAATTTACAACCGAACGAGCTTAAAACTGAGTAAATAACCTAATGAGTAAGTCCGTACAACTGACAGAGTACTATGATAACATGGTAATTTGGCACTATCAACTGAGTTGATGACGTAATTTGGCCACCGTTAAGAGTTTCAAAACTGAGGTTTCGAACGTTAGCCCGCCGGTAAACCAATTTAAAGTGCAGCCTGATGCTTTTCTAAAATAACTATTGGTTTACCTGTGCAATAAACGATAAGTTTTTGACCAATCAGTAAGCTCATACTTTCTCTGTATTGTATAAAAAGGAGTATGAAGCACGCTCGCGCAATCAAATTTGATTACACGAATTTACTATCTATGTTATAAAATCCTATTCGTAAATGTGGGGAAGTAAACATCTTTTAAATCACATAGGTCGTTATAGACAAGGAGTAAACAACAATGCGCTTTGTACAATTTCTCTATTTTTCAATCTCTACCTACCATGGAAAACAAACCCAGCTGGCTTCAAAAGTAGTATGCCTCAAAGGTATTCCACGTAATAAGCTGAGTCACAGGGACAAAATCCAATTAGTGGTTCCTTTAGTTTTTTGCGTAAAAAAATTTCCAAACAGGAAAACGCAAATCAACCATAAGTCACGGACGATGTTTTTCATGTAAACAAACAAGTAATTCAAAAGTTAGCTGGCTACGTAGAAACATAGAAATCGGCCTAAAAAGACATGTTAACCGTTTTGTAATGAAGTCTTCACTTTGTTACGTTTACTCGTTCTCTACATTCGCTCGCGTGGAATTTTTAACCCTCTAACTCCTAGAAGTGATTGACAAATTACTTCTACCTACAATTTACAGGTAATGAGAATGCTCAAATGTATTAGGCAAAAGTTGTTATCTCGATCTAACATCAAATTCTCGTAACTGATTTAGAAGGAAATTTGTAGCAGCTAGAGGGGAGAACTAACAATCAGATCTTGGGAGTTAAAGGGTTGAACCAATTAATATCACTTTCATTTCACAGATCATGTCGACGTTTATCTTTACGTCTGCAAGGAGGCAGTCATCTCGTCTCCGCCATATCAGTCCGATAAAACTGGCTACTTCTTATTTCTTGTCTACAAAAGTAAGATCAGTAACTGGCAGTATTTTTGAGCGAATTCCTAAAGAGGAGCTGGCACCGAAAACCAGACCACGACTGCGAGACAGGGAGTTTCTCCCAGGCTCAACGGGTGAAGGATTCCCAGAGTTCTTGGCGGAGCCAAGTGACTCTTTCCCTCACGGAGTGCGAGTCAATACTAGAGACCAGTCCTCTATCTCAGAACTGGGTGCAAATTGCATGAAATACATAAAAGAGAACCTTACTGATAGCCAGGCGATATTGTTCCGCGGACTTCCAGTTGAAACAGCAGAGGACTTCTTGGCCTTAACCGAAGGAATGCGAGGCAAGCCTCTGAACTACGAGGGTGGTACTTCACCCAGACCCAAGGAAATAGAAAATTCTGATATCTACTTTGCCAGTGCTGAGCCTGGAGCGTACACCATCGAGTTACACAATGAAATGGCGTATCTCAAGACTTTCCCCAGGAAGGTATTTTCATGATAAAACACAGACGACTAATGCTGAGGCACCAGGGTATTTTCTGGGCGCTCCAAACATCAGCAAAACTTCCACTAGGTTTACGATGCGCTATTGTTAATTCAGTAGTTCTTTCACTCATGTGTACGTTCCTTCATTCGTGGATACTGTGGTGTACTTTGGTTCATTCGTTATTTCACCAGTTCGTTTTTCCATTCGTTCGTTCGTCCATTTTTTCATTCGTTCTTTCGTTCATTGGCTTACTCGCCCATTTGCTAATTAGTTTATTGGTTAAGGCGTTGAATTCTTTGTCCATTCGTTGATTCTTTTATTTACGTTTGTCCTTTCATTCATTTCTTCTTCCACTTTAGGTATTTTTTTTCTGCCTAAAAGAGCCTGGCGAGAATTGTGGTGGCGAGACACCGCTGGGTAAATGCAGCGACATTGTACCCAAACTTGATCCCGAAGTCGTGAAAAAATTCGAGGCAAAAGGAGTCATGTATGCACGACATCTGCCGGACAAATCACGATCAGACTACATGCCCTGGCAGCATCAGTTTTACACTGACGACAGAAAGGTAAGACAACTTGGTTCACGTCAGGAATCCCATGTAAGAATTGATTGTCCTTTAAAGACAAAAAAAAATTGTGGAGATTTCAAAAGAAAATGACGATTTTCAGTCTCGAACCCGGTAATTGAATTTACACTGATGACTTTATTTACTCTTTCAGGCAGCAGAAATAAGAGCACAGCACCGAGGTAACACTGTAAGATGGGACGATAACGGTGATATGTACCTGACTTACACCGCGCCGGCCTTTCTTTCTCACCCAGTAACAGGAGAAAAAATCTGGTTCAACCAAGCAATACAACACCACTGTACTTACTCGAAAGCACTGCCACAGTACAAAGGTTCTGATCTCCCGGATGAGAAATATCCCTGTCACACCTATTATGGAGACGGAAGTGACATCGAACCGGAAGTGTTACAACACGTCAGAGCAGTTTCATGGTCATGCGCAGTTGGGTTTCGGTGGAAGAAGGGTGATTTAATAGTGCTTGATAATCTGAACGTTCAGCATGGACGAATGGCCTTCACGGGAGAGAGAAAAATACTGGTGCATATGACGGCAGACTGAACCTTATCTTTCATTTTGAGGCTTAGCCTTGTCTTTTACTTTTGTCAGGTTCATCATCATTAGGCACCATTTTTGAGACAATTTTTTTTAACCAAAAAAAAAACTCAATGTTAGCGTGTAGAGTGGTATGTTGCTCGCACCAATCAGATCGCCGCAATAGGGTATGTATCTTGCACCAATCAGATTGCCGCATTAGGGTATGTATCTCGCACCAATCATATCACAGCATTTGGATATCATGCACCAATCATTTTGGTGCGTTTGGGTATTATTTTCTAGTAAATGATGCCATGGGGGGGCTGTGCACAAAGAATGACATTAACCGGAAATTTTGGGCTCCGCGCAACATTAGCATATATTTTTTCAAATTTTTTATAAAGTGTCTCCATGTCGTTTCATATACAAGTGACCTGACTCTCAGGTATGTTCTTGTTCTCCTGATATCAGTTGATATTCTCTTGGCTATTGTTAATCAGTAAAATGTTATTTCATTTGCTCCAAAATATTTTTTACGGCTTAAACATGAAATTTTTAGAATTGCACAGTACGGAGGCTTCCCTTCCTCAAAGAAAGCATTGCATTGCAAAGAATAATTATCACAACATTCATGTATTCGTGTGCTTTTTGTTTCTTCCGATGCACTTCACGTACCTCTCTTACATACTCTAAGAGTTTAAAATCTGACGTTTCGAGCGTCCACTTAGTCCTATTGCTGTCATAGATCGGGCTGGTGATAACAAATCACGTCCGAAAAAATTGTTATTGTTTTGGTTTGATCGGAAATCATACTCATGATTTTAAAATCGAACGAGTGCGCAGCGTGAGTTTGATTTGAATTCCCAATTACCTCTTAATTACGTTTATTTTGAAGGAACACTAAGAGGGCAAACAGCGGAGAAACTATTTTTTAAGAAGCACACACGGCGAGGCATTTAGCTAGGCCGTTTTTAAATAACTTATCAGTTCAGTTTAGAGATAGGATTTCTTCCACGCGGTAGCCGAGAGAACATTAGAAAGAAGAAGAAGCTAACAGAAGTAAAATTGCCAGTAATATAATGTTCTCTATAATGTTCTCTATATTGGTTATTGCCTCGTGTATTTTCAACCATGTGCATCAGTAAATTTGAATATAAATTTTTGTCGAGCCTAACTCCCTTAGTACAATACATAAGTTTGAAATATGTGATGACAGACCAAAAAAACTTGTATTTGGGCGATTAGATTGTGCGATTCCTCTTAACTTTTTCTTCATTGGTTCCTTCAAACCGAGGCTTCTGTTAGAATTTCGCAGAATTTCGGAGCGGGGTCTGGAAAAAAAGACCAGCGGCTGCTCCCATTAGAGGCAGATGGTTGATGCAAGCACTATTTCAACCAGCGTACGGTTTTGTTGATTTCAACGTGTCTGTTGTCGTGACTTGAGTGATCATTGCTTGCGTATATCGCCTTTCTTGGTCTCTTAATCCGTCAGAGAAGCTTCTAGCTTGTGATTTGTGTCTTTGAAATTATGCCACCGCAAGAAAACGAAGGAAATCCGAACGCTTCGACTCATCCGCCCGAAGGCAGTACGGCTAATTCTTCGACCAGCCCTAACTGGGCTGCACTTAGGGTAAGGAAGCCTAAAAGTATTTAAATTTATTGTCTGTGTCTTGAAATTTCTCAGATCTGTCAACATTTAGAGGTCGGGGTTATTCCCTCCTTTTGGGTTCATATTGAATTGAGATCTTACCGGAAGAAAACTGCCAGACGAATGAAAGTGTCTTAAATATGAAAAATGACTTTCGTTCATTGCATAGATCTTAGTGGTTTGAAATCTTGGTTGCAAATGCGTGAAAATTTGTGCCCTTAACTTTTTTATCAAGTGTGAATTATTTAGTTTGTTCAAAAAAATGTCAGTAGTCTATACTGGGACGAAAGTTTTGATTTTACATAATCCTGTATTTTTCCTCGGCACAATCACCACTTCCTGCATAGACAGTCTGGTCTTGAAACATCCAGCTTATTTAATCCCGTTAATTGAAAACGTACTTCGGTAATTTCCCAAATTTCTCTGGTTAATAATTTATTTATCAGTTTTACTTGATGTTGAAGAAGAAAGGGAGCTTAGCTTTTAAACCCAGCTTATCCATGTTTATATTATATTTCCTAGAAGTGGAAATGTTGTGTTGTTCAACTATGAGTATTTTATCATGTAAATAATTTTTCTCAGTCATCTTTAATAATCTATTATTCTGGTTGTTGAGGGAAGGGAATATTCCTGCTTCAAAGTTATTGGGAAGTGAAAGGAGAACCAAAAATGGTTTTGAAGCTCACCTTCTTGGAAGTGTTTGGATGAGAATATTTGACAAGTTGTTTTTTTGGGTCTTAATTTTTCAAACCCATGATAAGAATCACACAAAAAATGTCACAACTACTTAAAGGATGGTTACATATATGACATGCTTATATTTTCATAGCAGCCCTTGTATTTTTGTGATATTTAAATAGTATCAGGGGAGTTTTGGGGTTTTCACCATTCTCTCCTCTCTCACCTTGTAATCTTCAAAGAAATTTTTTATATGGCAGACATCCATGGCCTCTTAAAATGATATTCAACAATTCTGATTAGTTATCAATTTCGCAGAAGTTGAAATGGTGCTTTGAGAAACATCTTTCTGCAAAGTTCAATGCTAGAATTCAATAAATTCATAAAAACTTCTTAAAGTCTCAGAAACACTGTTCAAAAAATAATTTGATGGCGATCCGATTTTGCTTCATGTTATTTACAAGTCAAAAGTAAAAAGGACAAGTGAAAATGTATAAAGTAATGAAAACAACAGAGACAGAATGCTTTTTTTCCTTAGGGGTATAATTCCCAAAGGTGAATTGACAACTCAGTATCAGGTAAAAAGTTTAGGGCAAATTGAGTCACTCAGTGTGTTGAACAAAGGCTTGATGATCTGATTAAAAGGCATTTCTTAGATAAAACAATTAAACATGCTGATACATTTTCTGTGATCTTTTAAAATGCAATCAATGGGTTTGTTCCTCTCTATTGTTTTTATCTCTTGATATATTTCCACTTGTTATTTTTACTTTTGACTTGCAATGTCAAAATATTGACAAAATACCCCTTAACAAATAATATGAGTTTTTTAGAAAGTTTCTATGTATTTAAATAATGTTCTAGTATTGAAGTTTGCCATCAACTGTGTGTTACAATGGAAATATGTGACTAAACAAATGTATGATGATATACTGACTTGCAGCGATATCTGTTGGATAACAAAATTGATTCAGCATTATGGCTTACAAGAGTATTTACAATCATCACTTCAATTCTTTATTTGCTTCCATTTTTTAGGTAAGTATATGAGTGAGTTGTCTAAATCCTTTTTTCACAGTAAATATCCAAGGGTTTTCAATGACAACTGTAGAAACAGGAAAAAGTAAAGTAATTAGGGAATATTCTGAATGAGGGAATAAAATAATAGCTCAGACATTTTAAATTTAGGCAGAGAATTTATTTTCATGTAAATATTTGAGTGAACTACAGGTGGCAGTTCATACAAACTGAAGTCATTTGAGCAATGATCAACCGCTCAAAGACATATCTAAGATTTAGTGACAATGATGGCTTATTTTACGTATAGAAACTATTTTGATTTTAATTGATTAAAAAGCTTTTCATTTCTTAGATTTCATTGACAATTAGTGAAGGATGTTGTACTAATTTAAAGACCAAAAAAGAAACAAAAAGGGTTGCTAATGACCAAACTAGAAAATATTGTAGCAAGTGACTCTGGCTGACATTTCTCAAGTTAAGGTCCCAATTTGTTAAAGAAGTTCTCAGAAGTCTTCTTTTTTATCTATTCTAACCAAAAGTGTTTTCTGTAAAAGCCTGTTGCTTCTATTAGATCATTAAAATTCAAAATAATAAGGACATAATTATGAAGGAGTGAAATTTACACATCTGGGTAAATGGCTGATGTGACATCATAATGGTTAGCATGGTGTACTCTGGATCAGAAAGTCCATGTGTGAGCTTTGAGCAAGGTTTCTTTTGTTACATTCTTGCTCTTGAGCATCACCCCTGAAATATGGCTTTTTTTTATGATCATTTTTTTCATTATGCTTAATAATTTAACTGTTCAAAATAATAACTTTTAAGAGCCCCTGAACCTCCCTTCCCCACCCTTCCCCCATTCCTACAGCCAACTGGTGAAATTTGCTAATAATAAAAGGTTAAATGAAGTTGAGAACACACATTTTACTGGATCAAATCTTTAACCCCCTAACTCCCAGATCAAATTTATAATTCTCCTCAGTGTCAATCATTCAATTCTTATAATGTTACTTCAGAGAATTTAGTATTGGATCAACTAATTAATCCCAAATTGATATTTTTCTTTATTCTCATCACCTATCTGGTTGATATTGTATTGATACTGTAAGGAGAATTTCTGTCTTGGTCACTCATGGGAGTTAAAGGGTTAAAATGAAAGCTAGAAAAGTAGGCTTACTGTTGACATTTTTCAGGCTACAGATTTTATCTTTTGTTGCACTCTCACAGTGCCAGTCTCCACTCAGGAGTACCAACCCACCATCAGGGAGTCCTGACTAAATGTTGCTCAAGGGGTTTGCTTGCACTGGACATTTGTTCCAAAAGGAATGGCTCTGCCTAGGATTGTTTTGTGGCACAAAAACTGTTATAAGTTTACAATATATGCACAAAGGTTCTTAGAAACTGCTTTTTGTTTAGTTACTAACATTGCTTGTTCCATTTGATTGAATCACAGTCCTATGTTCAGCTATAACTGTTACAAAAGAGTGCTGATCAGTTCAGCAGCCACATCAGCCTTAAGGCTTCATCAACGACTTCCAGTATGTAAAATTGTGTTATTTCATTCACATTCAAATTAAATTTGTTCTATCAATATTTAAAAATTGTGAGATTTTTAATCATATGGATACTTTTTTTTTCATGTCACAGAGATTCCAGTTTTCAAGAGAATTCTTTGGACTGCTGCTTAGTGAAGACAGTTGCCATTATCTACTTTACAGCATCATGTTTGTCAACTCTCATCCAGTCACAAGTATCTTTTGATTTTAAAGATGAAAACGTGAAATGAAGCAAATGCTAGTTTCCAATTTTTTTTTTTTTGGTTTAGAAAGAAGTCTCAGTGTTTTTTGGTTCACCTTAGAGACACTACAATAGGCCATTTTACAGTTGTGTGCTTAGTTGCCAAGCCTTTGATTTGGAGTGAGGCTGAAGGTGACCTTGTTGTGATAGAGACCAGTATCTAGTTAGCATGATAACAAAGTAATTTGCATTTGAAAAGCTGCAAGGTTTGTATCATAACAAGGTCACCCTTAGCCTCATTCCTGTTCAAAGGCTTGGCAACCAAGCTCACAACTGTAAAATGGACTATTGTCAGTTTAGTGGAATGTGGAAATAGTTTGGAGACAGGGTTTTGACTGCAAAATAACAGTGTTGTCTTAGGCAACCTTTCTTGTTATCAAGCAATTAATGTCACAAAATGGGGTGTCAAAATGTGATTTGAAAATGAATGATATGTATAATTCAGCCTATCATACTGTAGACAATTTTTCAAATGCGAAACTTTCCTTGACTACAAATTTCTCACAAGTCATCTTAATCCCAGTTGCATTATTTGCCCTTCTTCACACTGTGTCATTTACAAAAAAGTTACTAGATGTGAGTACGAAATTTTTGAGTGGTTGTCTGTTAGTTGAAGTTGCTTTTGTTCCGCAAATCTTCACTCTGTGTTATTATTTATACAACATTAAGTTGATAGTTACTTGTGGAATATTATTTTCTGTCTTTTCTACTGTGTGCAGATCCTTGGAAGTGGTGGAATTTTCAGCATGTCCCTTATAAGGTAAACGCTCTTTCTCTCCAATTCAATTGTTTTTGACATTTCAAAATTCAGCATGATTGCATGTTCATTAATATGAGGTTCTGAGGAATAAATCCTTAAGTCTGTAAGTCATTCCCCATTTTGAAATAGAAAAATTTTGTCTTTTTATTCAATGAATCAGCTAGGCAAATGCTTTTGGCAAATGAGTGTATATATTCTCCATGCTGTTCTCTTTACATTTCCCATGATAATGACAAGGAGAATATGTTCAATGATCAATAACTTCTTAAACTGCCATTCATTTCCTTTCTCCTCATAATCCAATACTGCAATGCTGAATCAGCTAGGCAAATGCTTTTTTTAAAAGCCTTTACACCCTAACATGAGTGTATTTATTCTCCATGCTGTTCTCTTTACATTTCCCATGATAATGACAAGGAGAATATGTTCAATGATCAAGAACTTCTTAAACTGGCATTCAATTCCTTGCTCCTCAAAATCCAATACTGCAATGCTGTAACGAGAAATTAGATGATGGCCAATCTTAGGGGTAAAAGGTTACTGGTTATTTACATGTTTGCCCTTTTATTGTTTATTTTCTCAAATTTTTTTATAATCATTGAGTGTTCAGAATTCAAAAGAACATGTTTTAACTTCTTTTTTTACAATTGGACCAAATGTAGTATCCAAATCAGTAACAATAAACAAGAATTTGTGTGAGAACTCAGTGCAATTTTGGATTTTATCTGAACATTTAATCAACAACAACTTAAATACTCTTTCATTCCTGTAAGTTGTATGTTTTTTGTTCTGTTTTGTTTTTCTTTTTAAGGTCAGCTCGTAAAGCCATAGAGAAGGTGGAGATTCATCAGCAGGGATTGCTGAGGTTCATTGCTTGCACAGAGATAATGCTGATGCCAGCCGTTATTTTAATGGCACTCAGGTCTGTATACAGTTCATTTTCCTAATGATAAGTGAAAAACATCAAATGAAGTTTAATTATTAATACTGCTTTTTTCCTCCACCTGGGTAGCTCATGTTGTGAGGTTCCCACACTCCCATGAGAGAGGTCTAAGGTTCAAGCCCCAGAGTGGAGCAACACTCAGGGTCTTAAAATAAATGAGGAGAATGTTTTGCCTATGCTATGACATTTGCAAATGGTTGGATGTTCTAGTCTTGTTGGATAATATACTGTAGTAAGAGTTTGAAATGGACGATCTATGGATAATGTTGCAATATGTTACTGATGCTGCTGTAGATGAATTTTCAATTTCAGTGGTCAAGCTGGCATTGTCATTCCTTTTGTTTACTATCGATTTGTGGGATTTAGATATGCATCCAGGCGGAACCCATATTGTAGGTTAGTGACAGAATTTTTGAATATTAATTAAACATCTTTTGTTTTCATTTTGTTGGCAAAGAGCATTCAAATTATTTTTTCACAAGAAAAAATATTTGAGTTTGATTTTATAGTAAGCACAATTTCAGTACAAAAGTGATGTGGTTGTGTTGCAATTCCTCACACTGGTATCATTATATATCATTATTATATCAGCTGGTGAGGGCAACCACTGCCTTCTCTACAGTTTAGCAAAACAGAGTCAAACAAACCATAATCAAAGTTTCAAAAATGTTTGTCATGTCAGATGAAGGGTTAGTGATCTGTCATATGCAAGATCTTTTGCATGTTGAAGGGGTTTACTTGTGCAGTTTTATCAAAGCTCCTTTGAGAATGAAATTTCAAACCAACTGTTTATCTCTGTCATTTCTTCCAGACTTCTATTTACTGAGCTTCGACGATCAGTTGAGCAGCTTGCAAGTCATCCTCGCTGCCCAGCATTCTTGCGGACCTTTGTGTTCAAGTTCACTGCCTTCATTGAAAAGTTAGCTCCTCCAATGGCACCACCCCCTCCTCAAGCTTCTGCCTCTTGAGGGGAAAAAATGTTATTTAATTTGCTTCTCCAAATTTCAGCCTTGTATATTTAAGTAGGTAATAGCAAATTTCAACTAATGATAGACAGAGACAAAGTCATTGCTGAAAAAAAGTGTAACCTGCCTGTTTGTTTTGTTGGTGCTTGTATTGTTGATGTCTTTTCACTAATGTATGCTGTACAATGAGGGAAAAGGAAAACTTGAGTAACAAATTAAGCAATTGTGATGAAAATTATGAAGGGTTTTCAAAATCTTAATCCAGGAATACTGCCATTTTATCATAAACCTTTGGAGGACTGTTGATAGTTGTTTAATAGTTGGATAATGGTTCTTGTTTGTAAAGTTATCAAGTTAAACTTGTTCATTTTTTTTTTTTTAGTTGACATAACCAAGCTGTATTATTTTATGAAGTACTGTTTCACGAATAAAAAATGTTTTAGTACCTACTTTGGTTGCTTTTCTACTGTACACAGCATGTTGGTTTTGTGAATCATAGTACTATGTTTGTGGTTGACTCCACTTGAGTGTGATCAAGCGACATTTCATCAAAGGCAGAATGAGGCAAAGCTATTAACACATCAAGTTTTTGCACAAATTGTGACCAGTTACTACATGATGAGTACAGACAAGCATTCATATACACGAACATCATACAAAATTTTGAGCTGTCCAAGGTAGAGTACAATAACTTTGACTGAGTGGGAGGATTGTGGGATGGAAACTTCTGGCTCAAGGTAATGATGCATGCTGGGAGCACATGGTGGTCAGTGTGTTACAACTGAGAGCTAATTATTTTGCCATTCAGCTTAATTTAACTTGGTCAACAGGCATTTTATTATATATCTGTTGCTATTCCTACCCAAGCCATTGCATACAGCATACAGGGACTTTTGTGAAATGTCTTCACACAAAAGTGTGTGTAGTGTTACATGCAGTCAAAACATAATGCAAAAGTTCCACCACCTAAAAATGGAAAAATTGGCTCTACCTTTAAATGCCTTAGCTGACAACTTTGTTGGTCTGATCATCCCAATAAAATTGTCAAACAATAATTGTGTTTCCAGAATTCATTAAAAGTTGGTTAATTTTGTTATTTTCAACAACCAGTGAAAAGAAAATAGGAAAATCCCTTCTTTTGGTTTCTTTCCACAATTTATTTGTCTGAGGATATAAACACTGCGAGTCCAAATCCTAATTTACAATGAAACCAAGAACTAGAGGAAAGAGTACCATAGCAGATCTTTGAAATTAACACTTTACACCTTAACATCAATATACATATTCTCTATTCTGTTCCCCATACATTTCCCAAGGTCTTGGCCATAAGAATTTGTTTAACAATCAAAAGCTATTAGCTACTGATCATTTCCTTTATTCTTCTGTATTCATGTGTGATTCAGGGCTGGTATTGTAAGGAGAAGTTACTTGGCAGTCTCTCTTAAAAGAATGAGCAACCCTCTACTGTGTTCAGAACATGGCTACAACATCATTAAAATGTTAAAAAAATCAGGAAGAAATCACGGAATTAAAGTTTAAGACAATGATGGTGACCATTGTGATCATTCATTGTCATATAATTAACTTGTAATTCTATAAGTGTAATGGAACTAGCTTACATTTAACAATTCAAATACCTCTTAAACCTACAAAAATATAAGGATCCCTAAACTGAGCAAACTTTGTGCAAAGTTACAGTATGAATTTTCAAGAAATCGCATGAATACATAACAAGAACAAAACTGTGGCAGTTCTTTCAGTAAAGTGAAATTTGAGAAGATATTTTCATTTCAGATGAAGAACAGAATTGCCATTATGTGACAAAAAAACTTAAACTAAATGTAACAGTTTTCTAAAGTTCACAAAATTTGGCTTAATTTCCACCTCTCTAAAAGTGTGGTTTTCTTTCTCACCTTACCAGGGGGGGTGGCAATTACATTATTACTGGGGGCTCAAAATGACAACCTTGAAATATTCTAACTAAAATGTTTAAGATACACAAATCGTTACAAAACTTGTTCAAGCACAAAGTTTAAATCAATGAGAGTTTGGACTTTCCTATATTCTGACTTTGAAGACCACTGGTCTTGAAGCTTCTGTTGGTGCTCCATCATACTCTGCAGGAACACTCCTTGGAAGAGGCTTTGCTGCTGGTGCAGGGGCAGCACGTAAAGGAGGAAGAGGGGCTAGTCTGGCCGGTGGAGGTGAGTAGAGTGATGCTGATGGTTGCATGTTTAGCTTACAAAGCATCGGCTGCCCATCAAGTTTCCGGTTGTTGTATCTACTAATTGCAAAGTGTGCATCTTCTTTATTCACATACACAACTTCTGCTGATCCCCTTCCAAGCATTTTACAACTGCGTAACTCACCCACTACGCCGAAGAGTTCTTCAACGTCTTGTTGAGTAACAAGCGGGTGTAAATTCGAGACCGTGATCCTACAACCGGAAGTTGGTATGTCTTGTTTAGATGGCTCCGGACCCCTTTGAATCTGTGCTGCGATACTGCTCATTCCGTGATCCAATCTGCCCTCCAACAAACTATCTCCGAATCTGCCCGCTAGGAGAGGTTCGGATTTTTTTGATGCGTAGACGCTGTTTTCTACATTAATCTGACTGTACAGCGTATTCTCTCTTCTCTCCTTTTCTCTTCTTTGAGCTTTCCTCTCTCGTTCCCTCCTTTTTGCTTCGTTTTGTCTCTCTCGCTTTCTTAAGACTTGTTCCCTCTCTTTTCTTTTTGCCTCCTCATTCTTAGCTGTTATCGTAAGATACCCTGCAGTGATGTTTGCTTCTCGTTCCAAATCTTCCTTACTACGCTCTACTTTGGCAGTGATCCGGATCGAATCTCCCATCACTGTAGCTGACCTATTTGGCGGGACATCTTGCTTCGTAGTAATTTGAATATGGCCACCAGTCGACAGCGTCAAAGACCTATTTTTCTGAAATTCATTTTGTCTTTTTTCTTTTCTCTGATCCTCTAGCAAGGAAATGGAACGAATGATCGGTTGAGTTAGTTTTTTCTTCGAAGAAATAGTTTGCCTCGCGTCAACAATATTCCTCGTATTCGTTTTAGTGGCAGGAACACGAAACCCTTGTGCTTTTTTAGCCTTTTTTCGAGAAAGAGCAGAGCGCAGATCTTGCGATCTTTTGACATTTCTCGCTCCTCCAACTTCTAAGCCCACTTTTCTTCCACTTTGCAACGCTTTACCACCTCGATTTTTCTTCTTAAACATCTCGGTACAGTTTTCTTAGTTTCACAATTTCAGGAGGCTCTAAGGGAAATGTTTCACGGTTTTCTAGACGCCGCATGATATAAAGCTAACTTCTATTGGCTGCTTAATTTTAGCCAATAAAGTACTTCTTTAGAAAATAGCTTACCCTGAGCCGTGGAGTAGCGGTATTTCCCCAAACAAGATTATGTTCATATATGCTGAAATGTTTGTACCTTCTGAGGGAGGTACGCTCCAGTTATGTTCCTGATGCAACTATGAGAATTTTGCTCGAGTATTTGGACGGTGATGATAAGAACATTACTTGTCCGCTGCTTACTGAACGGATATACCAAGATGGTACACCCGGTTGCACATACAACAACTGGGCTTACATAATCATTGCAATCGTGGCATTTATAATTGTTGGAATCCCATTTACAGCTTTCGTTTGCTGCATACAGCGGAAGATACGGAATAGGCAACGCATTCGACGCAGCAGCAATGACCGATCAAGCCCCTATCCATATCAGGTATGGTTGATTTTCAGTTAACAAAAGACGAAACCTACTTCAATGATACAGTGATTTGGATTCGGGCGCCATTTGGACCTCATTGTTGATCAATTTCCGTTGTTAATCAATTTAAATTTAGCTGATTACAAACCACAACAACTGTCTTGAACAGGCCTTATAGGAGACTTCTCATCACTTCGCACATAAGAGCAAGCAACTTTCCGATCAGAAAAACTGAAGCATTGAGCTCCTCTTTTTCGTGTTAGGAATTCCAAGGTTAACATATCTAATAATTATCAAGCTTCTTTCATGATACTCCAAGACAGGTGAAATATTATTATTATCAATCAGCCATGAAAGATTACATTGAGCTGGAGGTTTTCAAATGAATTTTCAATCTTGGATAGGTCAGGGCGGGGTATAACAAAAGTACTGAAGTTACAAAATTTTGAAAACTGAAAGAAGGAATTGAGAAATAGAAAGTTGTGTGTTAATATGGCAAAAAAAAAAGATAATTATAGTGGCTGATAAAAACTGAAGTAAGCACAACTCATTATCTTAAAATAGAGTACTTGGTGTAGATTTGGTTTTTTCCCAAGATGATTTTTATGCTAGTATAACATGAGCAGTCAGCCAGCCCAATCAGGGTAAACCTGCATGATCCTACAGTAAAGTCTTTTCATTTTCTTTAGCCCATCAGCAGTGAAGGAAGTGGGCACCCTTCTTATGGAGCCATTGACAGTGCTGATGAGCGTGTAATCAGATGTAGGTATAATCTTTTTGAAATTTTATTGTTTCATAGAAACTGTTCAGTTACTGGGTAGGTGGTAACACAATAAACAAGATGCCCTTGGCAACAAGACAAATTTTATTGTCTTGAGATTTAAGAGGCATTTCCATTTGGGAGACTAAATCATAAGGACAGGAATCATGACAAAGGATAATATATGTCAGAGCTGGTCAGTTAGCTCAGATGATTAGTAAAGAAATTTTCCCCAAAAAATTTGAATTTTTTGGCCAGTTCAGTCAATTCTTCAGTTTTGTAGCAACAACAGTGACATCAACAACAAAATGTATTTATCTTAGCCATAAAAATACATATCTAAAAATCCCTGCCCAAAAAATAGCAAAGCTAAGCAATGCAGGAGGAAAGTAAACATTAAAACAAATTCTTCCATAACAAGCTTGAGTGAAAATAGGAAATGACTAAGAGAGCATGCATATACATGAATAATGAAAACAGTACAAAATCAATATCCTTTATAAATGTGTTTGGGTAAGGTTTCTAAGCAACAGAAAATTCTGGAAAATAGCTTAATATTTGTTTTGAGTAAACTATTTTCATTGAGCAGCAGTCAGTTAACCCTTTACTCCATAACATCAGTATGCATATTCTCCATACTGTTTCCCATACTTTTTGTTTGGTGATGTAGAGAAGAATTTCCTTCACAATCAAGGACTTCTTTAGTTGGTGATAATTTTCTCTATTGTTGTGACCTCAATGTGTGATTCAGGGGGTGAAGGAGTGAATGCTATTGGATTTTGATCCTAAAAAGTTTTTTAGTGGGCATTTCCATTGTCTTTTTCAGCTCCAAGCCATGACTCTGTATCTACTGCCAGTCTGGCTGATAAACAGAGCCAGCATCAAGACACCACAAGTGTGGCATCTAGTCGTGCAAGCATGGTTCCAGCCTATGATGATGTATCTTTAAATCAACGCAGTGCTGCAGCTAGTAGATCTCGCCACCCATCTAATTCAGAAAATATTAAAGATGGTGCCAAGAACTCAGCAGGAGGGCAAGCCAATCAAAGGAGAACATCACGCCTCTCATCTGATGGCCAGGATAGATTTGTTGACCAACCAGGACAGTTTTATGAATCTGTGGATGTTGTAACAAACTTGCCGAAGCTTCAAGACCAAACTAAAGCTAGAAATGATAAACAGCCACCCTCCAAACCTCCCAGGCAATTCTTTAATAAAGCTATCACTCCAGAAACTGAGGATCATGTATATTCTGAAGTTGAAGGCACTGACTCTAATAGTGCCTTTCAATTGCCATCAAATGATGTCATATATGAAATAAACCCTAAAGAGGATGGGGCTTTTGAAGGGAGCTCACCAGTGTATGCTGTTTTAGAACCACCCCTAGAGGTTCCAGATCAGAATAAGGGTCCAGAATCACCTAATGAACAGAAACCGGGTTTAGAGCAAGAGAAAAAGCCAGCTGATGACAAAGTTGGAGAGGATTCCGCTTCAGATAATTATGTAACAGTTCTTCCTCCTACTCCTCCCAAACAAGTTTATGAACCTGCAAATGAGAATTCAGACTTGACAGCAAGTGGCTCAAATGAGTTTGATCAATATTCTGTGACACCAAAAGAAGAAGAGCCTGACCCTGTGAAGTCAAGATCTGTAAGTACAATGTAAAGTTATGTCATCATAGTGTTAATTATTTATTTATTTTGAAGTCTGTTAAACTGTTTTCAAAAAACATATACATCAAAACCTTTCACTTTTAAACATGGTAAGATGTCTGATTTGACATAGTTTGAGATCATGATTCTGTCTCCTTTTTTATGGCTTTTGTAAGTAAGGACAAATTTGTAATCAAAATTGTAATTTTGATTATAACTGAAGTAGCAAAATCATGATTGACAACATATATCTTGGTCATTTGAAATCTTAATTTTTTTAAAATAAGAATTCATTTTAACATAAATTATCTCCATTTATCACAATTTTGACAGTATTTTGAGGAGTTTCTTCTGGACAAAGTGAGGGCGTTACCAGCAGATAAAAGAAATGGTACTTTCCTTATTCGAGATTCAACTTCCTCAACTGGATTAAAGGTGCATGTATAAAACTTATCTTGGCCTATTTCATTTTTAGTGTTCCTTCTAGAAGAACCCATAAAAAATTCCAAAAATAACAAGAGGTCTGTTTCTCCTGTAAAGCACTTCTGTTTTCATTCGATATGGGGGTTTTAAAAGTTTTGATAATGATATATTGAAACCATCAGCTGAAGACTTAAAATTAGGGTGCCAGAATCAGTTTCTCTATCCTTAAAATTTTGATTTTAAGATATGGCCTAAACCCATTCAATTACTAGTGGGAACTTTCATAAGATGGGCTCCAGAAAATTTTGATGAATGAAATTGAGAAGTATTTTGCAAAAACTCTATCAAAATCTGTGAAGATATGATTAAAGATGAAGAGAAATCTCCCTTTCGTATTTCCTTGGTGATATATATGTTTTCCCTACACACTCAGAATTAGACCTAAAGTATATTACCCAGCTGGTGCATTACTCAACAAGTGTATTTTTTCTTTGGTTGCAGGTTTTAACCTTGTACTGTTGGAAAAATGACTCAAATAAAGAGCTTTACCACTTTAAGGTACTATTCACAGCTTTAATAGCATGACAATGTGCTTTAAATTAGATGCTTTACAGTGTCAAGATAATTAATTGACTTTAAAAAACCTTGTTAATCATTAACCTAGCCATATGGCTGGGCATTTATTGGCTTGGCTGTAACTTATTGAGCTTTGGCTTACAAGAAAGCCATCATTATTGGTGTTGCTGGACGTGTGTTTCCCCATCAGTTAGAAGATTTGAGATAAGTTGGGGCTAGGTTTGCTTCTAGATCTCTTACCAGCTCACATAATGCTCAAGGCCTTGTACTTTCATGTGGGCGACAAAGTTGAATTGATGTACTTCAATTTGTGGACCAGGAACCTCTCTGTCCTTTCATTTCCACACCTTACTCCTGTAGGTCTGGATTTAAAGATTAGTATTTAAATGTAGTATCCATCACAACTTTCAGATCAGTTCTGCAGAAGATGGCTGGGTATTCCTTTACAAGAGTTCTAAAAGGTTTTCAGACTTAGATGAACTGTTGAAAGATCTCAGGTTAGTGTTGATCTTCATGAATTGATTATCTGTGCAGCTTAATTGGTTTTTTTTTTCTGTAACCATGCTTAAAACTTCAAATATGTAATGAGAGTAGTATACAAAAATGTGTCGAAGAGTTATATTTGACAAGAACTACACTCCTATAATGTCTTTTTCTATGCATGAATGGAAATGGTACTGGTAAAGCTGTTGGTGCAATCATAAACAAAACAAAACAAAACAAAAAAGGTCTGTCACTGGTTTGGAGGATAGACTTAAAAAATTTACCCAGATTTCTCTGATAACTGTTGGATGAATGTTGAATGATCCATTTCTACAGTCTGTTACTGGCTACTTATCCAATGCTTTCAATTGGTATACCATGGAATATCCCACAATTGTGTATACCATGAAAATACCAGTGACAAGAAGGGTTATTCATTGATATAACATGAGGAAATGCCACTAACTACTCTAAACAATGACACAGAGAATACAGTGGCCCACACAATCAATATGAGATAAGCAGTAGACTCCATTTAGAATAGTTTTGAATAAGCTCTATGATGTTTTAAAACTCTGTATAAATCTAAGTCTTAAAATTAAAGTAAACACCAATTACAACTTATACTTGGCGAATAAAGTTGACGTGGTCAAAGGCTTGTAAGGAACTGAAAAGGGTGCCACTTATTAAATTTCAACAGAGCACAATGGGAAGGTTGCAGGTAATACTATCCAATATACAAATGCCCTCATGTATTCTGATTGGCTGTATTTTCTACTGGCTTGGTTTAAATGGAACTACTGTAGCTAGAGGAATTGAGAAATTTATCAGAAATATATTGAATTCTTATCTTTTTCTTTTTTTTAATTTTTTTTAGGAAAGACAAAGATATGTTGCCTTGTGTTTTAACTGAACAAGTTTTGCCCTAATATTGTTTCCCGGCCCTTCATGTACATAAAATATTTATATTTTATCAAATCAATATAGAATTCTTTTAAAAAGAAAACCTTAGTGACAGATTGCATGTCGTAAAAAGTGATTAACAAATGTATTTTGTTAAAAGGTAATTTAGTGTTAACAACTGAGTTGAAAACGTAAATTGGCCCACTGATTGAATCGCTCTGACGAAGGGCTAACGCTCGAAACGTCAGCTTTTTTACTCTGTACGGTGGCCAATTTACGTTTTCAACTCAGTTGTTAACACTAACCCTAAACCCTATACTCTCCCACCGACGCAGCACCACAGTTTCTTTAGAAACTTACCCTCTTTATATATTTTGTTAAAATACAGGTTCGTTTACTAACTGTAAGTAGTGTGGTAGGAATATTTTTAAAACAAGTATATTACGATTGGGGCCGAAGTCAAGAGCTGCGATTTTTGTATTTTACTTAACAAATAGAGAAGCCTTGACTGTGCTCTGTTCTGTTGTAAAGCACGCAGGAAGCGGTTAGAGCACGAAAGAAGTGTAGGGGGAAACACGAGACGCAGTCGCCATCAGAGCACAGTCAAGGCTTCTCTATTTGTTTTATAATAAAGAATCCGTTAAATTCCCCAATAATTACTTTCAATTTTCAAAACAAATCTTATTTCCAAAGCGAATAACAGTGTCGTCAGCATGCTCTATTTAACAAATAGAGCACGAAAGAAGTGTAGGGAGAAACACGAGACGTAGTCGAGTGTTTCTCCCTACTTCTTGAGTGCTCTAGCCGCTTCCTAAGTGCTTTATAACAGAACAGAGCACAGCCAAGGCTTCTTTATTTGTTTTATAATAAAGAATCCATTAAATTCCCCGAGCATTACTTTCAATTTCCAAAACAAACTTTATTTCCAAAGCGAACTACAGTGTCGTCAGCATGCTCTATGTATAGGAAATAAGCGTATCAGAACCCTGTTAGAATGGTTCAAATAATCTGATTGGCTGTACAAGACTAAAGCTGTCAAAAGTGTCAAACCATATCAAAGTTCTCAAAATTGCACGCGCCGTAGGCGTGTGCAATTTGAGAACTTTCAAAACATCACGAGTGACCATAAATCACGGAATGCACGAGTAGGATTCATACGATTTTTTATTTATTATATTCTCGACAAAATTACTCCATCGCGCTACTCTGTTCGTGCTCGTATTCTTCCATTTTTGGGTTTACTTTTCGTTGAGTCGCCCATGTTTGCCAGACATTTAACCAGGTCTGTGTAGCTTTCAACGTGTTTCTGTTTTTCGCATTTTCTTTAAGTTGCTCAACGATGTTTTGGTTTGAAACCGGCTGTCAGCCATTTTCTTAAATTACGGCGCATGGTATGTTTACAAACCTTTATTTGGTTCTTCTGTTGCTACTTGCCGGCTCGCTTGTTCCGAAATTTCACTTTCAATTATCGGAAAAAAGCTAAAAGGAAGTCCCGGAAAAAGGTCGAACATTGTACAGTTTGGCAGATGGCGTGACAGCTTTAGCTCAGCTCTATGCTCTATACTCTCATAGAGCACGCTCTTTCAACCAATGACACCGCGCGTTATATCCGAACTTTATTATAAACTCTCTTATTATATACTCAGCAAAATATCGCGTTTCTGATTGGTCAATGATGAATGCATAAATAGGTTATAGAGTGCAATAGAGGTTATAGAGTGCAATACGGAGAAGTTGCCATGGAAACACCCGGGAAGCGCCAAATTTGAACACAAATTTGAGAATATAATAAATAAAAAATCGTATGAACCTGCTCGTGCATTTCGTGATTTATGGTCACTCGTGCCCATAAATCACGAAATGCACTCGCGTTCATACGATTTCCTATACATAGAGCACGCTCTTTCAACCAATGACAGTACGTGTTATATCCGAGCTTTATTATAATTGACAATAGGAAAATTGGCGTTTCCTATAATAGGAAAAATATAAGAAACAGATGACACACATGAAGGAACTCTGAAAGAACACGGAGATAGATATAACTAGGTTACTTAGCAGAAAAAAAAATTCTCCTCTATCAATTTCGTTGTAGTTTAAGCTTTAAAAGTTTTATAAATGAAATGGCAATAGGAACAGGTTTTCCTTGTATCCTTACCATTAAAGAAAGTGAGGTAGGAGGAGGGGAACTTTTTCGAAATGGGTGCTAGTTTGAAATTGTGGCTTAAGGGGTGGACGTGTATTCGGGGAAGAGCTCTTTATTAGAGGAGTCGGCGCTTATTCGACGAAGTGTGGTATCGATTTGAGTGAGTATATGCTGAAACTTTCGCCTTTCATGCAATGGTAACCATTCACAGAGCAGAACGTAAAAGATAGATTTCGACATTTTCAAATCCAATTAAACAAGTTTCGGAAAGAACACAAGAAAAAATCAATTTATTTGTTGACTGGTGATGTTTGCGTGACTATGGTATCGGTCAAATGTCAAGTTCAAACCGTTGGTGTTCGTCTACTTTCGCAGACTTGAGAATTGTTGGAGGAGAAATTGAAAGAATTAATAATATTACATTCAGTTATTAACGAGCTGCTGAGTGATTTATAAAATAAAAGGAAACAAAAACTTTATAAAACATTGTCACTTGGTAGTTTATGCCTGCAAAGCTCGCGACCATTTGTTCAACCGGCCATGTTTGACTGGGAGTTAAAGTCGACGGTTGGGGGAGAGGCGGGGAAAGGCGAATAGACAACCCTCTCCTTCATTTTGACCGTCGCTCGCCCCCCTTGGTACAAAAGTCTTTCTCTTCCCAGCTTAACGCTGCTGTAAAAATTAAAGATGGAAGCTATAATTTTCACCAAGGTAACACTGAGGACTCGCCCACCAAAATTACGTCTGCTCTTCAAGCTAGGTGAATACGTGAGGCGAATGTAATGCTATATATGAGTAAGTCAACACTCGTTGAAAAATATGTCTACTGTTGTTCGTATTCCGAACGTAAGTGACCACGGGGGGATATCTACATTACTTCTGACGCGATGGGGGCGAATAGCATAGCTAGGTGCACTCTTAGTTTCAATTCCAAGATAAAAACTACAGATCAATGTAAATAAAAATTGCACATAACCTTTCGGCAACGTCGCGCACGGTTTTGATCCCATGTGGGCCAATCTTTTCTTTAAACACACGAAACGATCAAGTTTAATGCGTCCGTCAGTGAAACAGGTGCTGTACTTGAGAGGGTTGAAAAGATCTCGTCTGTAAATTATAATTAGCTAAATTTCTCATTTTGTTTGCCCTGCGTTTGTTTTGTACTTTTGTGTTTACTAAGCAGCGAATTATTCGTTTCTTTTCATCGTCATGCATAGCGATAGCAGTAGTGTCCGATGGATACTTCGAAAAAGGGAAAAAGGTTCACACTCTGCAAAGGAAAGGGACGTTGAACTCGAAAAGAAATTGTCGAGAGATGACACTTTGACAGTGCGAAACTTTTTAAGGGCGCGCCCACAAATTCAAGTTTAAGGGTGCATTACATTTAAAATTGCGACATGAAAGTGAAACTAAAATGGAAATGACATAAGATCCACATTGAACTCTTTACTCCACATGTGGGTTTATGAACCCAATATCCCTCGCCGTACTGGAATTGCAAATTGACTCTTGTCCAGAATTACCCGTGCGACGTCCTTTTTGTGAACGGAGAATATAGGCCAGTGAAGAGACATTGCTCCCGATTGCAAATATAATCTTCTTTGCTTTATGGGTAATTTTGGATTTCATGTGAGTAAAAGAGGCAGTCATACTAATCCAAGATGCGCCTCGCATTTCAGTTTAACTGATCAGATCTTATATTTCGTGGAATAAATCGTTGAGGGAACTCTCATTCATCCCCGCTCAATCCTCCTCGTTTTCGAGGGATATCCTCTCGCTGTTAGCCCAACATTGAGTAAAAAACAGATTAGCAAATAATTTAGAGGTGCGTGGAAATGACTGTGCCGACTTGAGTAATTAATTACCAGACAAAACTACAAATAGCAAAAAATTTATGCATTAATTGGTAATCATTCTGAACCGTCTAAAACACCTGTGTCATAACCCCACATGTGGAGGCGTACTTGATTTTTAAATCCGCAAATGAACTGCCTGTTCTTTGACTGAATGTGAGAAAGACGCTATTGTCTGCAAAATCGGTAAGTAAAGTTTTTAAAAGCTTTGTTTTTTAAATTTTAGGACTAATTAATATGAGTAAACGTGGTTGCATAGTTTGTGAAACTCAACTCGAATATCGACTTTGCGACATTACTGAGACTCGCGTCAAGTTTGGTTTTTTTCGACTGGGCTAATCAAGCGTTGCGACGTTCGCGTGCAAAACGATATGGGAAGGGTCAAAGATCCATTTAAACCATATTGTGCTTGAAGTCATAAACAAAAATCATTTAACACAAATTTAAAAAACGTAGAAAAAAGTCGGCTCGATATAATTATCGCTTTATTTAATTTTACAGCTAGCGATACAAATTTTAATTTATCTCAGCAACTTTAGACCTGTTCGTAAGGGATTCGTAACGTTCGAAGAAAACAAATCTGATTTTGATTCAGAAATTGTATATACAGTAAGTTTTTCAGTTTGCAATAGCGCATCTGTACGAAGCACTAGATAAACTTCTCCTCGCTCCTCGTCAGTGAGTTTTAACGTCAGGCGCAAACTTGAAATTCAGTAGGAAACCGAAAGAGGAAATTGATGTGTTGTAATCTTAGGATTTCCCGACTACAAGGGTGTCTTTCTCGGATATTAAATATTGGTTTAAGACCTTGAGCGGATTATCTATTTAAAGAGCTGAAAACGTACAAATTGGCTTTTAACCTAGCGCAATATTTATATTTTCACTCCAGCGTAAGTGGAAACTGAAAAATGGCTGTCGATTTGCCTTAAGCTGACCATGAAGCAGGGATATTCGTAGGTGATTATACGGCTTACGAATGATCAACAGTTAAGATACTTATTTGTATATCAAATAAATTTTAAGCCTCAAAATTCGAGGGGAAAGCGTGAGGGGACATTCGAGGGTACGCGCGTGTAATTTTAAAGTGAATTTACCCTCTTTCCATATAATTATATTCGTCTTCATTGTCAAGAACTGACTTAAAAAGCATGTAGAATACATAGAAACACAATTTGAAGGTAGAGAACTTAAGTGAAACAATTAGAAGGATTCAATTAAAAATAAAAAACAATATTGGTCTAGGGATAATTGCGACATTTCCTTTTTTCACGTTTTTCAGCCGAACTGATATCACAGATCAACATTTTCACTATTTCAAAGTATAAACAGCATAAATTTAAGATTATTCGAGAAAGTTAACTGGTTCCTTCGCCTTCATAGAGCTGATAAAACTGTAAGGTTAACAACTTTAATATTAGTTATATTCACTTAGAAAATAAAAAACTTGTATTATGTTCGAATTCAATAACTTCTATGACGTGGAGTGGCATCTTTATCATCGGCCAAAATTTGCCTAACAACAGAAACAGCAACGGACTAGCTTTTTGCCAAAATTTCTTTATGCGCTAGATTCTAAAAGGGCACTGTTTAAGAAGCGTTGAGGAATCCTTTCCATGCGTAGCCAAGACACTGGCATCGTGTTTAATTTTTTTTTTTTGCCAGATTAAAAGTTTTCTAGAAGTTGTTTGCTTTTCCCTTCTATAGTTTCACTCATTTGCTTTCCGTACTTTACCTAATTTTTTTTTGAAGACTTACATGTTAAAAGAAATAGTATGTCTTTTACTTACAAAATTTAAATAATTTCGAAATCGTTTCATTTCATTTCCTTTCATATTTTGCCATAAAGACGAAAAAGAAAAATTGGAAATCAATTAAAGCGAAACATGTTTTTCGCGGCGGACGTCTGTCCCTGTTGATGTTTGACTGCGTTGTTGACAAAAGCAGAAGACAAGCTTGGAAGATTTCAATAATAATAAAGGTTTGAAAACTAGCGTCAAAATGTCATAGTGAGTTCGATAGAAACATTCGTCATAAAGCGACGGGTTCTCACAGCAATTATTTCGCAAGAAAAATTGGCGTTCCTTTCTAACAATACACTTTTTTTTATCGCAATCGCAGTTACCCGAAATATTTTGTTAAAAGCTTAAAGTTTCTCCGCTTAGGTTATTTCAACGCTTTTTTATGTCCTCAAAAGTCACTCTTCAAACATTTACAGTCTTCGGTCTTTCGAGACGATAACTTTTCAACGTTTTTAGCTCAGTTTCGATGGATTAAAATGACGAACCTCTATAAAGAGGGGCAAAGGATGAGACCCGCACTTTCAAAAGAATACTGACAAAAAACCCTGAAATTTCCTAGAAATGAGATTTATTAGATAATGAGGTTAATTGGCAAAAGTTTCTCAGAATTTCGTAATAAATGCACAACTGCAGAGATACGTAACAAAAGCAATGAGGAGATGGCAACCCTAATTTACTAACATGACATTTATACCCTAAATTTGATTAATATTTAACCCTAGAGTTTAGCTAATTGTGTTCAGAGCCAAAACCAGATCATCTGTATTTTATACCTCTGTTGGCACTCATTGCAAATTGTGAGCTAAATGTGACAATGCTTTGAATTACTTTTTCGTTCCCAACTTTTTTGAAGTTATCACCAAAATACAGTTAACGGAATTCGAAGGGAATTCCAATTTTCATTTCTCTTGTTTGGTCGAAAACCTCCAGCTTACGGAAGCTAAAACTTATCTGTCAAACCTTTCAATTGATGATATTTCAAAAGACAATTGCCAACGTCCGATAGAATCTCGGGGCGATAAAAATAAACTAGGGCTGATTCAAAAACACACTATCAAATCTCTGAGAAGGAAGAAGTTTCACACAGGTGGAAAAAGGGAAATTTCCTTTATAAACGGTAAGAAAGAAGTCCTTTTTCTAAATTCCGGTAAAACTTGAAGACAAGGGTCTTGATTTTGTATCTTAGTAATCTTTGGTATAGTTTGAGTCAATTAATTCACCTCTTCGATTCAGTTACAACTAGTCTGGGATAAACAACAACCGAAACTGGCCCCTGAAAAAGTTGCCTGCGACATGATATGATGAATGATAAAGTGAGATTCGTACGTAAGCAGTTTGCCTACAGATATATCTCCGATATCCCGTACAACGACAAATATCGATAAAAAGAAAAAAAAAACCTAAAGAAAAATTCGTTCGTTGTTGGCAGTTTTATTCTATTGACGTCGATACGGCGAAGATAAATGGAGCCAGCACCGAACAAACGATGTGTTTACCACCAGCTATATTGCTATCGCGATATAATCTCCGTTGACCTTGAGGCTCTGAGACTTCTGAAAGAGAAAATTCTAAATCTTTGGGCTACTAGCAAATGAATTCTCCTTACACGTTAAATACACTGTTGACAGAAAAGTAGTGAGAATTTTGAAAACTATCAACTAAGAGTTGTAATCTTGATATAATACCAAATTCTCTGACATGGCTATCAAGTGCATTGGTCATCAGTAACTAGCGTTTACATTTTCAATTTGAACAATTAGCACTCAACGACAGCAGTAAAGTATTTGTGGTTTGATGAACCGCACGCAAAAAGAGAATAAGTTCCTTTTCAGAGTGCCCTAAAATAGCTATAGGTAAGCTATTTTGGGCACCTTCAGTTTTTTCCTTCTTCCTTTTTAGTGCAAAATTTATGCCTTTACTGAGCTAATGGGGCGCACTTAAGCTTTCAGTTCATCAATAATCAACATTTGACACAATGATCGTTTCAAATAACTAAATGGACTATTTCAGATCAATTCCAAGGGTTTATATTCAGTTTAATTAAACTTCCTCGCGGCTTTTGTGTGCGTAAGGTGACATCAAAGCCTGCTTGCGCTGTATGTTTACATTTTTTATCTAATTTCAAACAAATGATCTTAAATTGAAACTCTAATTTAGAATTGCTTCCAGTCTACAACTGATAACCGTATCAATCTTTGTCTGTTTACCGTAAATCTATCATGATATCTAATGCTACACGCACGCAACATGACGTGACGCACACATTCGAACGACACTGACAATTTCGACACTGATTTTAAAGACGGTAATGGACTGCTGTTTTAGCCTGGCGAGTCTATCTTCTTACCAGAAGATTTCAGTCCCTCTAATAGACAACAAAAATCTGCAAAACATGCGCTTTTTCAAGTTGTTGCTGTCGGCTGGAAGTACGCTTTCACTAAAACTTTTAAACTTCCCAGTCGCAGGTAAGAATCCATATAGCCTTTCCCGATTCGTTCACTAACACAACTTTTTTATTTAGAAGAGGCCTGGTTGAATTTTTTTGTAACTCTTCGTGATGGATTTAAGAAATTGAATGCTTTCAGTATCACCTTTGATTCGATTTCAAAAATTTTTTTTCCTCCGTGTAGACCCGGAAACTAATCGATTATCTGATCAGGTCAAGAAAGACCGCCTCTAGCTTTCCTTCAACATCATTTATTTTTTTAGCTGTGTAGGTCTCCGTGAAGTTCTTCCTGAAAACTTGCCATATCCTCGGTTATGTGGATTCATCGTTACTGCCATTTAGGTGACATCGATATTTGCCCGTACTGGAAATCTTATCCTATATGAAAGATGAGATATACTAAAATCAATCAAGAAAGTTCTTCTGTTACTTTCATTATTTCCGTTGCTGTTATCATTAATGTCATAAATATTATCATTTTTATTTTCATGATTGCAATTTTAATTCTACAACTGCATCAGAACATTTCAATCTTTAAACTTGTTTATTTTGTCCCATTCCGATTCATAAGAAAAATCATGGGGAGGGGGTGGGGAATTGGGATTGCCTATATTCGAGGGGGATGGGCAGAGAGTTTTTTGCTTTGTGTGTTGATTTGTTTTCTCGTTGCATGACGGGCCGACAAAGGGATATCGGTGTAGGGGGTGTAGATAATAAGCCAAAATGTTTAATAGAAACTGTATTAATCAATCTCTCTTTGTCATCTTTTTTTTAATTTTCAGATTGTAATTGATCACCAGCTGTTTTTAGAGTGAGGTAAACATGAGCACCTCGACTGCCCCCGAGCGAGTAAGCTGGACGGTTTTGTTCAGCAGTCTTGCTCTTTTTACCATTGTGGGGAACTTCCTCTCTATAGCGGTATTCCTTAACAATTCAAGACTTCGTCGCATGCGCACAAGCCTGCTACTGATCAACTTAGCGATCGCTGACCTGCTCGTGGGCTCCGTTGCCGTTCCAATGTATATGGTCTTCCAGTGGCCGGAAAGCGCCATAGCGAGAGACTTTACTTTTATCACCTCTTATGACGCTATTGATCTGCTAACCGGCTTTGCGTCCATATTCAGCCTATCTGCGATTGGTTTGGAGCGTATGTTCTCTGTTTTCTCCCCTCATAGGCATCGAGCGACTGGCAAAGTGCCTTATTATGCAGCTGTTATGGTATGTTGGCTGCTCTCCTCGCTGCAAGTTTTACTGCGCATTTTGAAGGCCCACAAGATTGTGGAGCTCACCGTCTTCTTTTACAACATGATGTTCGCACTGTCTTTTGCCTTCGTTGTCATGCTTGTCACTTACACCGCGGTCTGGTACAAAGTACGGGCTCGTCAGCTCGAGCTGAGCGATCGTGGGAGGAGCAGCAGATTGTCAGTTGAACGAGAGCGCAGGCTCATTCTGACTCTGGCAATTGTCACCGGATTCTTCCTCGTCACATGGTTACCATTTCATTTGTTAAACATTTCCTTGTTCTTCTGCGTTCAATGTCGACAGCAAACGGCGATCAATTTCATCCACGCAATCAAACTTCTACATTACAGCAATTCGTTTGTGAATCTGATTATCTACAGCTGCAGGTTCCCTGACTTCCGCCGAACGCTTTGTCAATTTTTTGGAAAGACTAGGCGTGTTGATCCTGACACGCAGTCAAATGTATTGGGACATATGAGTTTTCTAAACACGAACAACCGCAGTCCACCGGTAGAAATGGATGAGGGTATTCCGATTTCTTCTTACTCAGCAAGAATTCAATCCTCGGAGCATTGTTAGAACTTAAAGCAAACACTAGGCCCAACGAAACTGTGATAATTCTTTCAAGCTCCTGTCAGTTTTTCTCCTCTTATGATTTTCCTATTTATAATCATGCGAGTCGAAGATGTTTCCCGAAAAATTGCGATTACTGTCCAACCAAGAATCACCCAGCGCATCAATCCCTGGTGCTCTCAATTTTTTTGCCGGGAAATATTCCCTTCCGCCATCCAACTCAGAAAAGACTCAAGGGTTGTTTGAAGGGAAAGTAATTGATGTTGAACCTACAGCTGAACAACTGAGATCAAAATAGGCATCCTCTGCATTTTCATTTCATTAGTACTCGTCAAAAGTTTCTTGCAGAAAATTGTAGTGAGATTAATATCCAATTAGATGGCCATCCAATTTGCAGGGTTAAACTTGCCAAATCATTAGGTTTAATTATTGATGACCGACTTTCATGGTCTTATCACATCAAAGAACTATGCAGAAAGATATCCTCGGCAATAGGTGCTCTGAGGCGCATTAGGTCCCTCATTTCTCAGTCCACTGCAGTACAAATATATAACGCTTCAATCCAGCCTCATTTCGATAACTGTGCCCCCGTTTGGGATGGATTGAGTTCTTATCTATTTGAGAAACTACAAAAATTGCAAAACCGAGCAGCTAGGGTTATTCTGCAAGCCAACTGTGAGGTAAATTCAAGCCCGCTTCTTGAAACTTTGAAGTGGGACCAGCTATCATTAAGAAGAAGAAAGCAGAAAGCTATAATGATGTTTAAATCCCTCAACGGGTTAGCCCCAGTGTACTTGCAGGATTTATTCAGTGAGCAACACACAGACTATGACTTGCGTGATTCTTTCCGTAAGTTAAACTTACCTAAGCCGCGTACTGACTATTTGAAACGTAGCTTTGTGGTGCCTTACTGTGGAATTCTCTTCCTGAGAATATTAGGACGATTAGATTATTAAAACATTCGATTCCCACTCGGCAATCTTGTAAATCAGTTTTTATAGTTATTTTAATTTTTTACAAATGATTGTAATTCAAATACTATTAGTATAACTGAAGATTCTTAACCGAGTTTAAATAAAGATCTACTACTACTACTGCATAACATGTGCGCGTAACAGGCCCTAGGCAAGAACACACGAAACACGTGCAACAGGAAGTAAACCAATAGCTCTTGCGCATGTGACCTCTTGCATAAACGCGTTGATCTTAATCACACGCGCCAACATTGTTGCAAAAACAACAGGAAAAAACGGGCTCCATTGGCAGGATTATAACAGGATATTGCATTAACACAATTAAAAAGTAAATTGAAAGCAATTATAACAATTTTTATTACTTGTTTATGTAATGTTTCATGGAAATTAGCTCGCCCCTCTTTCGTAAGATACGACCAGATGGGTTAATTCAGTAAATGACGGATACTGGTACCATCAGTAAGATATGATGTTAAAGATTTATATGGAAGTTATTGTCTGAAAGGAAATTTTTTTTACGTTCTAAAAATAAAAGGTTGTATTTCTTGTCGCAGAATATCTTGGGCACTCTTGGTCTAATTGGTAGGAAAGGTATTTCATCGTAAATTATTCTTGCAATTACCGAAAGCACATTTCTTATTAACCGCTCAGTTATCAGCTGACACTGAATCAGTCTGAATATTTCCCAAGAATGATCTCAGTAGTGACTCTTTCTACTGTCTGTCATTCAATTCTTATGATGTTAGTTCGGAAAATTTTGTATTGGATCAATTAATAACCCTTTGATATATATTTTTCTTTATTCTCATAACTTGTCTGTTTGATGTTGTATCAATATTGTAAGGAGAAATTCTGTCTTGGTCACTCATGGGAGTTAAAGAGCTAAGTTACCATTGTTTAGTGACCACATATGACGTCATAACGATTTGGAGAAATGTGTGGTGCGCGGTGCTGTCGTTCTCTCGTACCCAGATCCTACTCCATTTCTACGGGAGATATTAACAGATAACCAGAGCTCTCGTTATTTTCCTTGGTCGCACGAAAATGTTTTGAAGGCTTTAAAATGCTTTCAAAGGTTCGTAAATAGTTATTTTTAAATTTCAAGACAAGGCCAGGGAAGATCAAGCCGGAAGCTTGATCTTTTGATGAGCTAAGAGTCAGTCTCGTTCTTAGGATTATTTTACTCTTTACGGTGGCCAATTTACGTTTTCGACTCAGTTGTTAACGCTAGGGGGTAAGTTTCTAAAGAAACTGTGGTGCTGCGTCGGTGGGATATACGTATATAAGCTGTATATAAGCCGTCCCACCGACGCAGCACCACAGTTTCTTTAGAAACTTACCCCCTTTATTCATTCATAGGAGTCCTCGCTCTTTTGGCCCGTAACGAGGGCTGCATTAGGAGAAGATCGGCCTGAGGTCTGTTAAAGAAATGGCGCAGCGAGATCCTCATTAAAATATCGAAGTTCCCATATTTTCCAATTACGGTGTTCTTCTTCTAAGAGCAAGTAGAAGCAGCATTAACTCCCCCAAAACTACTTTAAAAGGACCTTGGTCAATAGTTCAAAATACAACCATGTAACAAGGTAAGCCAATTACATTTATAGGAAAGACCATTTTGTATTTTTGAAATAAAAATCCTCGAGTTATCACACAAACCCTTATAAATAGCGTCACTGTAACACAAGACCGCCCGAGCTAGCTAGAGTGACTGTCTCACCTGAATATCCTCTACGTAATGATTGGTGGGGGTGGGGAGACTGGGGAACGTGGGCGATAGGAGTCCAGGCCTGGCTGCATACTAATTTCATTACGTCACGTTGTTGTTGTTGGCAGGAAACAGTAATGGCGCTAGAAACTGTGAGTTGCTTCTTTGATGGTTACCGGAAAAATGGAAAAGAGGGTGAAAATGCCTTGAAGTTAGTCCGAGAGAACATATCAAACTCAATTAAGAGTTCCTCTTTAGGTAATAACTCATTATAGCCTTGCTTTGTGAAAAACCAGTCGCCTGTGCAAACTCAGTGTAATATCCATTGCAACTGAAGCGTTGCATGGGGTAAATGAGTGCTTAAGTAGTTTTAAATATCTACTCAGGAAAGTATTCGAAATACTGTGATGTACCAGAAGACGAAATAAATAACTGGTTGGACTCTTTATTGGGGAAAGATCGTTTGAATGTGGAGCAAAAAAATGAAATACGATGTCAGCTTTGTCAGTGTTTGGTAAGTACTACTCAGCTTCGTGTCAGTTCTTGCTTCGACTTCGATCATTGCAAGACTCGAGAAATTATATTGATTAGATTTTTTAACAGTGTTATTACGTAAAATATTTTTTCTTAATAACGTTTATCGCGTATATAAGCTGTACAATACAGGAATCGTTTTCTTTTTGATAACATACAAGCCGATTAGTTTGCAATAATCTTAATTACGTAGATGATCAAGGTTTCTATTACGCGAATTTAATATACTGTTTAAGGTACTGTTTAAGGTATTATTTATTCGTGAAAATGATCTTACTCGTTTTTTTGTGTATTTGGACTTTATACACACGTCTCAAAACGGGAATCTTCTTTTTTGTTGACTTGCAGAAGAGAATTGATGAAAAGTCTTGCATAGCTTTGTGGAAATACTGGCTTCGACCGGTAAGGTACTTCTTTTAACCTCGAATGAAGACGTGGTTCTTGGGAGTGACGAGATATTCACAAACTTTTTGAAACAGTTATATGTTCTTTCACTCATCCTTGATTTACCCAGGAAGTCAAAGACCTTCCCAGCTTGAATCAACTCACAGTAAAATAATACAGTGTACCTTGTCATATTTTGAGCTTGGCCCATTTCATTGGTAATGTAATATCAACTGAGTTGATAGCATAAATTAGTCACAGAAAAAGAAAGAAGTTGAAAGCTTACATTCGAGCATTAGCCCTTTGTCGGAGCAATTGTGGTGAATTGGTGTCCACTTAACTCTCTTACTCCCATGAGTGACCAAGACAGAATTTCTCCTTACAATATCAATACAATATTGATCAAATAGGTGATGAGAATAAAGAAAAATACAAGTTTGAGAATTTACTAGTTGATCCAGTATCAAATTCTCAGAACTAGCATCATAAGAATTGTATGGCAGACAGAAAGAGGAATTAAAAATGAGCTCTGGGGCGTTTAAGGGTTAAGGAGGCCCAACAGTTAACCCTTTAACTCCCAAAATCTCATTTTGTATCTCCTTTCTTACCCACATGATTCTTGTGTTGTTACTCATGAAAATTTGGAATTAGATCTACTAATAATCCCTGAAATGATATTTTTCTTCAATCTCATTACTTGTCTCCTCAGTGAGAAATTCTGTCTTGGTTGCTTGTGTAAGTTAAGGAGTTAATGAAAAAACTGGTTGTTGAATCATTTAAATTGTGTGAGTTGTAAGCATCATATTTGGAATCAAACATCATGGTGGTGGGAATAAAAGATATCCCAGTCCATCAAAGGTGTACCATCACCACCTCATTAGGTTCCCTTGAAATTTACCAGAATTCATCTATACTCCTGAGAGAAGTTTTGTGACTTTTTTTCTAAATCACAAGATGGTGCAAGGTGTTTTGCCCCAGAAATCTAATCAGCGTATTCACCCAAAGTGAAAACATGGCTCTTTCAACATAAAGGTCATGGTTCTGTGCTACCAAAGTGAGATATCACACAGTCATCAACAAATCAGAGCACAAGAATCTCTAGAATTCCCAGTGTCTGAAAATTTTTAATACGATCAAGTCTTAACAGAACTATCATATTATGAATTCAAATTAATCTTTGATTTTTTTCAGGTTACAAATCCCATATCGGCATTACTTATTGTTGATGCTCAAAATGACTTCATGAGTGGGTCTCTGGCATTAAAGCACTGCCCTGCTGGTGAAGATGGTGAGGAAGTAGTGGCAGTGATAGAAGATCTGTTGTCTAAAAATCTATTTAAAGTTGTTGGTTACACATTTGACTGGCATCCACCAGATCATTGTTCCTTTATAGACAATGTGTCATTGTATCCTCTGCACTCCACTAGTCCTGTAAGTTCAGCACAAGCCAAACTATTTGATGTTGTGGTTTATGACAAACTTCCTCTCATCAATCAAATTTTGTGGCCAAGACACTGTGTTATAGACAGTTGGGGAGCTGAGCTCCACAATGGAATCAAGGTATAGTTTTGGTTTACAAAAAAATTGGATTTCAATTACTTGCTTCTTTTCCTTCCTATGCTGTAACCGTTGGTGCCCTCTCATTCATAGAGTAGTGATCCTTTGTATGCATTGCCATAGATATTTTGAGAGCTTTAGCTAAGACCAATTTGGTGTCCTTTTGCAGAAATTTATTCTGTATAATGAACAAAACATTGGCAGAATAAATAGTTGTTGGCCACAGACAGTGAGATCCACAGCACTGGCTGAAATAAAATCCTTATTAAAAGTAGTTTGCATTGAATTCCGGTGAGAAATAACAATAGCACTGAATTAGAAATGTGAATAACATTCAACAGGAACAATAAAGTCTTGAAATTTTGTCAATTTTGTTCACACACAAAATGACATCAGCTGTTTCCATCTTTTTGTTCAGCCTCCTGGTAAAGATGATATCACAGTGAAGAAAGGAAGCAATCCCCGTATTGACAGCTATTCTGCATTTTGGGATAATGCAGACTGTGTCCAGACTTCGTTATTTGTTGATCTTCTCAAACGGGGTGTTACAGATGTCTACTTGTGTGGTTTAGCTTTTGATGTTTGTGTGAAACATTCAGCAATTGATGCTTTGGAGCAAGGGTTTAAAACTCATGTTATAGTGGATGGTTGTCGTGGAGTGTCACCTGATGGAATTGCCGAAACAAGGAAGGAGTTTTTAAAGAATGGAATTGTGCTAATTGAATCTAATAAGGTATGTTTAACTTGAATTTTTGTACATGTAGACACTATAATACAGTGTAACCACAGGTGTAGTAATAACACATCTATAACCATTTCATTCCCAGATCTCATTAGCATTATTCCCCTTACTGTCCGCTGAATAATTTGTAGGAATTTAGAATCACTTGATATTCAGTCACCATGCTCTGTTGGTTCCCAACTGGCACTTTTTTGTTGAGATTTTAGTGGCCAACGATATTTTTCACTTGCCGTGGCGACCAAAATGGTTGCAACGTAGAGTGCTGAATGTATGAATATTATAGGGAGAAGTTACTTGTTAATCTTATCTGGAAGTTAAAGGGTAAAATACTCCTAAGTTTCCTTACCAGACCCCTTTCTGGCAAGGAGTTTTACTGGTTACAGCCAAATTGATGGAAAAACCTGTCAAAAACACTTAACATCAGTTCTATCTTCAGTCTTTCATGGCCAAAAAAACTGACAGTATTTTCTATTTTAAGGTGGAAGATGCACTCAGGGACAAGAAAGAGCAAGGTCATAAAGTGGCATGAAAGTAATATCAGCAGGCAATTTCTGCTTCATAAATATTTCTTTACTTTATTTTGATAAGTTTTTTTATACTTTTTTTGTTACTAACTTATGGTGCAGATTCTGTCTGAATTACTAGGAGGACAGTCGGGTTTGGTTAAGAATTAAATTAATATTGGTGTGCAAGATTAAATTATATAGAGTCACATTTTGCTTGAACAAAAGTTTTATGGCTCTTGTGTGTTGTTGTGTGAAGTTATTAGGCAAGACCAAGTCCAAATTTGACAGCAACTGTGCAATTTTTTAGTAATTTATATCTGATTTGAAGATAACAATCAACTGTACAGTTTATACCATGCTGGTCATGTTTTTCAGGGACTAAAAAAAAAAAGGTGGAACAAATATGATTAATATATGCTACTTTTCAATTCATCAAATAGTTTTGCTGGTGCATGACTGGTTTAAATGCATCTAAATTAAATAAGCCTTGGCATAAACAAGGGAAATATCCAGTGATATTCCCATAGTGATATTCCTTAATTTTGAAACCATGTGTCTAATGTAATGGAAGTCTTACTTCCAAAGTTCATTCAAGTGGGGAGAGCATTTAACTGTTGTTGCAGTAGAAGGGACCTATTTGTTTTTTCAATATTTGTTTTTGATAGTAGGATGACTTGAATAGTTTTTTTTGTGCACTACAAAAAAAATATATGAAAGATAAATAAAACATTTTAATATATTGCATATTTGTCCTAAGACAATAATTTTGGTAGAAATGAGCTTGATGAATACTACAAACTTGGAGGAAGAGAGAAAGTCCGAGGACAAATATCTGAACATAGTGTTGCAGTAAATGGAGGCTATTTTTTAATGTGATGTTGGCCATAGTAAATTGTACTCTGAGATACTAATTATGACTAAGGAGCTAATATTAAATGGGGTAGTTTGAAAATATTGTAGGTTTTGATTTTTGCAGATCAATCCTCAAACGTGTACCACCCCCCACAAAATAAATTACTGCCACAATGTCACTTCATAGTCACTGTATGTGGAATCAGTAAAAACCACAAAAAACCATCTACGCTATGCCTTCCTTATGAACCGATAAGGACAGTTCATATTTTCCTGTTAGGACAGAAAATCACAAACAATTTTTATTTCACAGGAGAAATTCCAGTCACCTTGAGCTGCAAAAATTTGATCCTGCAAACCTAAGAAAAATTAACAATTTACAAAATAAAATTCAAAACAACTTTTCTTAATACATTGTATGCTATATTTAACATTATTTATCATTGCATTGGTTGACTGGGTGAATGAGTGTTCAGAATAAAAATTATTTAATCAGGGAATGATACATAAAATTGATAGACAATGTATACTCTCTGAGTTTATTTTTTCAGCTTCAACACAGCTTCATGTAAAGTGTGATAACTGGCAATAAAAATAGTTTGAAACTAGTCTAAAAATTTTATGATTACACTAGAAAAATTTCACAACAAATTCTGAGCATAAAGCCCCCCCTCCCTTCCCCTGTAATGTTCCTTGTGACAAAGAAATTTCTTGCAGTGTCAAGCTAATAAATGTAAACTTTGATCCTATTTAGTTCACTATCATCACAAAGCATTTTCTCCCTACTGTTCTCTATACATTTCTTTAGATGCAGTCAAGGAGAGTTTGTTTAACAATTAAGAGCTTCTTCAGTTGGTGATCATTTCCTTATTCTCGTGACCTCAATGTTTGATTTGGGGGTAATTTTGTACAGAAGAATTTGGTACTAGGGTTCAAAGGGATAACTTGTGAATGTGGCCAAGGCAGTGGCATGTGACGGGGGGTTATGCGGACCATAAGATGGTCTACACCTACTGGCTTAATGAGTAATGATGATGATGATGACGAGGGTTGCCTTTAATCTTCCTGCTCTACTTGCAGGGTAAGACAACATTTGCGATGATTGGAAATGTTTTAGTGGCAAGGCAGGGTAACTTTCAAGGTGTTAGGACCAGCTGCATTGTTTGCATGTAATCACTACATGGTTCACAACTATGAACTAACAACTGTTGTTTTCAAAGCTTGAAATGTCTCAACATTAGCTAAGCATTTCTGTCATGTGGATCTCTGTATTCCAGCTTCAGTTCATGAAATATTTCCTGCTCTGATGTGGCCTCTACTTGACGAACAGGCTACAAGTAAAAACAGTACACTCATGTCAGATGTGTTACTGCAATAAACTTTAAGGTGTTGTTGTTTAAACCTCTGGGTGGCTATGTGGTGATTAGAAGCCATTAGACACTGCTGTTGTTTATACCTATAAGTGGCCAAGTGGCAATTGGAAGCCATTAGACACTGCTGCTTCATAATAAAAGGAGCTATAAAGTAAAATAGTTTGCATAACTAATAACAAAGTTCTCGCTGGTACTTACAATGTGTTTGTGATCCCACATTCCATGGTTAGACAATTTGACTTTCAATACCTTCCATGCATAGTCTCTCAGTGAACGATTAAATTGCTGGTAAGAGAAAAGGAAGGCAATCTATACAACTGATTGTATTCATTGACAATCCTACGTAGTGAGCAGAAGAGGGTTTGTCTTCATTCATTCATTCATTCATAATCTGTATTTAAGTGTCTAATCGTTCTAGTGCCTATTGACACTAATTGGGGACACCAATGACCCACCCAACCCAACCCAACCCAGGGGAGGACATCCATCACACAGTAATCTCGTGCGTGGGAAATTAACGTCTCCTACCCCAAACCCTGGCGGAGACAGGACCTCCAGCTTAACGTCTTATCCGAGAAGACGACTATCAGTAGTGCAACGGGGGCTCTTGTCCCCCATGGCTCTTGTCCCCCATGTCTTAAGCCTTTACACCCCACCATCAGTATGCATGTTCTCCAGTCACTACTGTTTTCTAATGAAACATTTCCTTAGGAGCTGACTAGGAGAATTTCTTGAACAGTCAAGAGCTTCTTTACTTGGTGATCATTTCCTCTATTTTCGTGACCCTCTTATGTGATTCAGGGGTAACATTATAGGGAGAAATCAGCTACTAGTCACTCTTAGGGCATTAAAGGGTTAAGAGCTATTCTTAATCACCAAGCTATGCATCAAGGCCCAGTTGCTCAAAGGCCTATTAGTGCTAATCCAGGGTTAAATTTTTATCCAGGTTTCCTTATTTCTTTTTTCCAAATACTTTGTGAAAAGGGTGGATAATTCTATCTATTGATGAATTTATTGGATCAATATCAGTATATCAACAAAAGTCAATTGACAATAAGTTAAGGTTAATGTTGGGTTAGGGGAGGGGTAGGTGGGCAGTTGCCCAGATATTGATCCAATTTATTTTTATGTGGTTAGAGGACTACCTTTTGCTAACACTTATCCACAGAATAGCGATTTATCTAATGGATAGTGTTATCTGCCCTTTGAAAAACTGAGCTCTCGTCTAGGAAAAAATTTGAGCTCTCTGGTAAGAAGGCAGAGAAGTAGTGGAGAGCTTGATGCTGGGGATTCTCAGAAAGAAAGCTCCCTTTGGTTAATGTCTAAATTAGATATCATGGGTTGCAGCTGAGAGGGCTGCCTTATAATTTAGGCAGAAGGGAAAGGGGGCTTATAACTGAAATTTTACATTGCTGAAAGACAGAGTCATGTACCTTAGAACCAGTCCACCCTAAGAGTGCAAATGGAAACTGTTTATGTGGAGCCACAATCAAATCTACTCTCCTCACTGCAGATTCCATCTGCTCAGAGGAAGAAGAACCTGTGGATGTGCCTGTCTCGTCAGCTTCACCAGTGGTTTGCATACATGAATGTTCTACCTTCTCATTTTCAAAACTTTTCCCCATTTGGAACATACAGAAGCAATGATCAAGAGTGTCCATATGGCCTCCCTGCCTGGTGAAAATAGAGCAAACCACTAAAAGTAATACCTGCCAGGCTAACTAAACAGTTACAAGCCTTCTAAAGCATGTGATAACATACCTTTGACTTCCTTCACCAATTCCCTTGACACTCTTCAAATACAAAGTTTTACTTTCAAAGTGTGGGTTACGGCCTACCATCAAGTCCTTATGAAGAATATGACCCTAAACAATGTGACACTGAGATAGTCAGATTTGTTGATTGCCTGTAACCGAAAAGGAATAGCACCTCCATGATCTCTAAAACTTACCAATTTTTCGAGCCTTTCAACCAATTTATGTAAAAGTCCTTCCACCTTGTTATTGTTCTGGTGTGTGATCAGAATGTCTACATCATGCCCAGAAAGTTTGCCTCTGCAAGATTAAATAAAGAGACTTTTCTGTGCTACCTTAATGTTTATTTGAGTTCTCAATTAAATAAATACAGCTATCTGGTGATACTTCTTGACTACTGATCTAATGTGAAATTGAGAAAAACATGTAGGAGTGTAGGTTCACTCCACTAAACAACAGAAAATTAACATTTGAAAAAATATATGATGTGACTAATGTTCATTCACAGCTTAGAAGATACATTTATTCATCAGTTGATGAAGTGAGGTTGGATTGGGTTCAAGAAATGACACAAAAAAGAATACAGATAAGAATCGAATACAGATGAAAACTTTATTTAAGATGGTAACAAACTGAAAAAAAAAGTGAATACAAAATGTCTTTAAAAAGAGAATATATAAAAATTAAAAAAACCTTTTTTGCCACAGTTTAGTATTTGCTTCTACTTTGACCTTTGTGATGGTAAATGGTATTGTTTTTTGAACCAAAGCTGTGAACATAAACTAGGTTCTGCACAGCAGTGCTGCACACATGGCATGTGGCATGTTTGATTATGTATCAGTGGCATCGAAATAGGCCACATAATAATTATTATGATAATGATGATAATGAAACCAAGATACAAAGTAACGCTAAGTAATAAGATAAAAAACAATTTGTTCACCTACGGTAGCCTCCAACCAACTCCACAATACAGTTTGGTTGAATTTTGGATAGCTGTGGAAAGAGTGTTGCATAGAAAATTGTTAGTAGGTTTGTTATCATTAGTTAGTAATATTTAACAATTATTCACCTCAGTGTTCATGGAATTGGTGGATATCTACCTTGCTGCCTTGCGGCTCAGTGAATATCCACAGTGATCACTATTGACCTACACTTCATATATACCACGAGATACCAAAAATTAATTTATTTCTGTCAATATATGCAAAAATGGTAAGAATCTAGACTCTTAATGCACAATTTAGTCTTATTGGCTACTCAGAGGTAAATAGTACTTGCTATAATTCAATTCAGAACTAGCCAATCAGTGTGTATGAAAAAACACTATTAACTTGTGTGGTATATACTTATCTCCTTTCTTGCAATCCTTTACGAAAATATGCACCAAAAAATAAAATTACGATTAATAACTATAATCATGGTATTAAAGATGAATTGACACCTTTGTATCATGTAGGCACAAGCAATAGTCCAGTTAAAAGAAATAAAACACCTTTCACCACTTACTCTTCCTTAGATAACCCTACCTCTTTAATAACTATGTCCTTGATGTTGATAGCTTCCTCTTTTGGAACAGGTTTAACTAGATCACTGTGATACTTAAAACCTGTAAATTATTAAATGTATTTTCCATTATTGTTCACATTTGAGCTTAAACTACAAACTGAAGGCAAGGATTTACAAGTCAGTGAAGACACAGAATGCAATTGCATAATAGATGGCATGGCATTCTGGCCAGTGAGAGTGTATTAATATTTCATTGTCTTAGCAGCCATGTTGAAACTGATTAAAAGTTCCATGTTTGAATTACAGACTGAGAATGTTTCAACAATATGCATTGCAAACCATTTACCCATTGTCTGTTGTTCAGTGAGTTTCATTCCATCTGACACTGCATGAAGTACATCAGCTATGCTGCGGTAGCCTTTCTCATACCACTTCCGAGCTGTAGCAGGTCCACATCCATAAATAGATGAGAATACCTGTGAATGTGATATCATAGTTCAAAAGGTGTTAAGTGTCTACAGAATTGCCCTCCTGACTGCTTTACTAGGTGTCCAACTAACTGACAACTAACTCACTTAGTGACTCATTGACTGAATGTCTAACAGACTGACTGACTGTCTGACCAACTGACACAGACAGACCAACTAACTAACTCACTCAACGACTTGTTGGCTGACTGACTGACAGACTGGCTGACTGACTGACAGACTGACTTACAGACTGACCAACTGACTGACAGACTGACTGACTGACTTACTGACTTACAGTCTGACTGACTGACAGACAGACAGACTAACTGACTGACTTACTGACTGACTTACTGACTGACACAGACAGACCAACTAACTAACTCACTCATCAACTTGTTGGCTGACTGACTGACAGACTGATTGACTTACAGACAGACCGACTGACTGACAAACTGACTGACTGACTGACAGACTGACTGACTTACTTACTTACTGACTGACTTACTGACTGACTGACTGACAGACAGACTAACTGACTGACTTACTGACTGACTTACAGACTGACCAACAACCAGACTGACCAACAACCTCTCTCTCTCTCCCTTCCTCCCTTCTTCACTCACTCTCACCTACTAACCAATTTATAACTCACAAACCTCCATGGTCTTGAAAAATTCACTGCTTAAGATATCTTGAACTTCATCTGATGAGCCATTTTCAAGAATTTCCTGTTTCAGCAAGAAGAATAATAACTAGGGTATACAAATTGAAAAAACAATTCCAGATTAATTTTATTTAATAATTGACATTTAGTACTTAAAAATAATCAAATATGGACAAACTTGCCTGTATCACTTTCTTGCTATGATTTCCAACACTGCTCAGTTTGGATGCCTCCTCAATTCTAGTGATCTGTCTGAAATGCATTTCAGTTCAATCAAAAAAGAAATAGATTGAGCTGAGGGGATTAAGAAAGTGATTGTAAAGAATAAGTGAATATAATAATGTTTTTTTTTTCTAGTACATTTTGTACCATACTTTGGGTAGGACTTGAGTGCACAAGCAGCTCGTCTGAAAGCAAGCGCTCTGGAATCCCTTTGAGTACTGTCCACATACACTGCATGCCGTTCCAGTATTTCTAATGCATCCTGAAGAAATTAGAGGGGCAAGATAACACAACATTAACTCTTGTCAAAATGCAACTGTGCAGGTTCATAAATTTTGACTTAGATGCACATATTTTCAGTCTTGCTTTCAACAAAAGAACCAAAGTGAAAAGAGAGAAACATGCAATTTTTTTTATCACATTGTACATTAGGATTAGCAACATTAAATCTACATGCAACTAGGCAAAGGTAAAGTGTAAAGGAGGTAAGTTTCTAAAGAAACTGCAGTGCTGTGTTGGTGGGAAAGTATACCCTTGTCATCACTTTGTGGCCTCACACCCCTGGAGCCTATCCCATTTTCTGCAGCATGAAGCAGCTAAGAGAATTGCTACTCTTCCTGGCTGTGACACTGGTCCATTGCATGTACCCTCATGGATTTAGACAAGTTTCCAAGACAGGCTACCAATACTCATTCATTCTCCTGGGCAGAGAAAGGCACTGTAAGGGTTGACCACAAATTGATCATACCATGACTCACAAATGAACCTTGCTTAAAACCAAGTCCCACCTTACTTCAATCTTGCAAAACTGCTTGTCTGAATGGCCACATTAAGGGAAAGTTTGTTTAGTTTAGCTTTCATAATGACCTTCACCCCATACTCACAGTAAATTTGGTATTATGGTGCTTCAAAGGTGTAGCCCTCTGGCAAACAAACTTGTTGTCCTGCAAGGGAAAAATGTGAAGTCTAAAAACTTATTAGGAAAATCAATTAATATATTTTTGGATAGCAAAGACATAACTATAATGTGGATAAGAGAATTATAACATTGTACTACCTGATATTCATTGGGTGAGGTTTCTTCCAACTTATTGCTTTCTGCCCTTGCAACACTGCAAAGTTAACATATTTAAAATCACATTTCAATGCTAGTAGTGAAGAGGCCTGGATAAGAAAATTTTAATGCATGGATCTAACTGCATTGGAGAATGAAATATACTCTGAAAATATTCTGTTGTAGAAGGCATCATGCTGAACAGCATGAGAGTAATTATCAGTAGTTATGAACCAATCTTCCTCTTTTAATTCTACTCATAAAAAAGTTTGATCTATCACTGACATGTAGGCACTCAAGTGTTACATTGTCTTCAGCTGTTATATTGATCGTGACGTTTTCATAATTAAACTTACTTCTAATTACACAGTTGCTAAATACCACAGCTTGGGTGCAGTTCTCACACTCATGAAAAGAAAATGTTCATCTTACATCAGCTCATGCATGCTAACAAATATCTTGTGCCTGGAAATATCACTTTATTAAAGGTAAGTCAAAACTCAATCACTAAGAACCAAAATCTTTGGTTTGGGAAAGGAAAGCAATGAAGACCAGTTTGCTCTTCAGGGCACCTTTGAAGTTAATTCAAACAACTTAATTAAATTTTATTTGAAAGATCTTGGGGAATTTTTAGAAATTTTCAGGCATGAATAGTTTACTGCTAGCATGCAGGTACTAATTTGAAGATAAAAATTTCTGGCTAAATTTTTCTCCAAAAAAAGTTGGCAGGTAAAACATACCCACTGGATTTCTGTGAACTTAACTCCCCAACTGACTTGATCCTGACCTTGTCAGTAACATTTACTATCTTGTTTTCTGTTATACAGTCAGTTAACCCTGTTGAACAGTCAGCAGATTAAAATAAACTTAATAATATTCTAATCTTAACAATCAATCAAATTGCTACAACTTGGTGAGATAAAAAGTTATTAATAGGTTACGCACTCTAAATCTATCAGCCAAATATCTGGAGTCTTGAATACAAGTACTTTTTTCTTGTACATACAAATCAATCCTCCAGAGATTTAACATGTACTTTGGATAAGAACTTGCTAGTCATATTCATTCCTTGACATCACAGAAATTAAACCACCAGTACATTCAAAGAGTAAAAAACCAATGTACAGAAATAAGTTGATTTTCCAAACAAACTCTGGTGTGAGAAGCTAGATGTAATTTATCAATAATGCAAATGCATACCCTGCTACTTACAATCAAGATTTACTACTTCTACATTGCTTGCGGGCTGCCTGATGATAAAAAAGTAATCCATTATTGTAACACTGATATGAAAAAAATATCTCTAAAGTGTGTGCTTCGTTGTTCCTAGTTTCTCTTGCACAAAAATATCCATGACTCCATTACTAACTCAGGACTTTTCTTTCCTTGAGGGATTCTCTTTACAAATACTATAGTTGTTGAGACCCCATTTTTTTTCTTATTAGGTATTTGGAAAATGTGCTGATTGGTTAATATAATTGGAGGATTTTAGGATTTTACCAGTAGATATGTAGTGGTAGCAAACATGCAACCACATACAAGTCCAAGTTTTATTTATTTAACTGCAACATTTAAACAGGTTGGCCCAAATGTAAGGTATATTCCTTACTCTTTGGGAGAAGTGCATGGGTTCCCTACTAACCAGTACAGAGAAGATGCAAGAACAGAGCCTATGGTTTATCATCCATGTCTGAGAAGACCAGAATGTGTAACCATTTGAATATGTTGTAGCAACACATTCTCCTTAGTTATTTTAAGAACCTGAATGTTGGTTTCGTCTGGGGTTTTTTCACTAGATTTCCCACACGACAGTCAGGTTTTCCACAACATGAGTTATTAACCCAGCACAGTTGTGACACTCTGAGGTCTCACACGTCATAGCTTTTAAGATGCATTATAAAAATTAATAACAAAGATACTGTGCATACTCTTGTTAGTTAACAGACACATTTAGATGAAAGCATGTAAACATAGTTGTGATGTTTCAGATGTGAGCATATATTTGACAATAATTTTTTCAGCCATAGAGGACTTAATCCATTTTAAATTAGCTTAATCTTAAAACTTGTTATGCAAACCCTTAACCACATTTTGGTTTGAATAGGTTTCTCCCAATCCATTCATGTCTAAATGAGAATTTTGGAACATGGATTAATTCATCTATTTATTTCTTTATTTGGTTACCTTTCTAGGAAAGCATGAACTCTATCCACAGTTTCATACCCAGTGACTATGTGTGTCACTGAATCACTGAAAAGAAACATTTTAAGACATTATATATCCAAAGTCAAGTGACAGTCAATTGTGGCAATGGCAGTACTTTTTCTTCAAGCCTCTGCAAAACATAAGTAGGAAAGCATGAACTCTATCCAAAGTTTCATACCCAGTGACTATGTGTATCACTGAATCACTGAAAAGAGAAATTTTTAAGACATTATATTTCCAAAGTCAGGTAACATTGAATTGTGGCAATGATAGTGCTTTTTTTCCTAGTCTCTGCAAAACATAAGTATGTCCCGAGAAAATCTGATGATTTTCAATTCTAGGACAAAGGAAGAAAATTTTGTACAAACGCTGGCAAGCAATGTCCAACCAATTGTTATGGTTGACTTCATTTGATAACTAGCTGCTTTGCACCTAATGTCCCCCGCTGGGGGGCATTCAGAGAAAGTGCAGGTCGCGCTGAATATTGTATGCATGATCTCAAAATGTCATAGCACACTGATTTTTCAGTACTATTTACCACGTGCCAAAATTCCTCCTACAGTTCTCTCTCTCTTCTTCCTCGAGGAGGTACCCTATTACCCTCTAGTCACACCGTACTAACAACTCAGCTGATGTCTCGGCATACAAACCTGAAACGTTCCGATAGGAGAAACCCTTTCTTCTGCGCCAGATTGTTTAAGACTTGCAGCCTTGCTTTAGGAATCTTTTTAGGGACGATATAGATGAGTGCATCGGCAAGCTTTGTGGTAGTATTCCGCTCATTGTCACGCTTAACTTTACCATTACTATCCTGATCTATCTTTAAACGCTTGGCCGCCATCTTGTTTCCCCGCCAAATGTTTTGATCACCAGTCTCTGCGCTGTCGTGATATGTACAAAGCCTTAAAAACTCAACAGGTGGCCAAAGCTCGCTCGCTCAATGAGCCTCTAAGTGCGTTTCTACTGCACTTCTACTGCACAACAGGGAAATAAAAGGATTTGTAAAGGAAAAAACAATCGCACTTTTTAACCAAAAAATAAAAACTTACCTCGCTTCTATGTAGTTGCTTTGCGTCTTATGATTGTTCGAGGATGATCTGCGAAGCATTACGGCTCGGTTTTATTTTATAAGCGCATCGCAGAAGTTTCTTTCAAAAAAACTCTTCCTTAAAGCTTTCAAACATCTTCAACATTTGCTAGAAGGCGTGTAATGAGAAAAGTGAAAGCTATCAGACGGAGGTTCCGATCTTGATATAATCCTGAATTTTCTTGACTGATACACATGGAAATGCAAAGGAGTAAATGATGAGAGTGGATTAGTTTTTGATCTTTGCCGTCTAGAATTCAAGTTAAAACCATAAACGCTGACTGTATCGTGTACAACTATTGCGCCTGAGTCTGAATTTCTTGAGGAATTATCGAGAGGGTGACATGGAGACAGAAAGCTCTTTTCGATCGTAAAATTGCATCTAGAGGAGATTTTAAGTGGGAGCGGGATAGATATACGCTTAGAAACAATCTGATTCACTATGCAAAGAAGTTCAAAACTTTTTCTTAAACGCTAACCAAAACTGATAACTATACAGCATCGGATTTTGATCTCAGGCCATCGTCATTAGATCAGTCCTAAGGGATATGCACCTTCCTCAGCTTTGACAAGATAAAGAAAATTACTAGTGAAGTCTCATCATTTAATTGCACGAGATGTTATGATTTTACAATACCTAACTCCGCTCAGAATAAAAATTAATTTGAAGAATGCTAAAGACAAAACCCGGAGAGGTGTGGGAAGGAGGGTTGCTTTCTTCGATTGCATTTTGAAAATTGCATCGAAGAGGAAGAAGGGCAATGTAACCATGGTCACCAATGTTGGCCTGATGACAAGTTTTGGATTGCACACAGATTTCAGAAGAATAATAACAAATATTCTGTGCCTAGTTGAATTAAAGGAGTTTTAAAAACTTTCCTCATAACCGGCTGCCAATGGTGCGAAAGACGAACGTGCCTGAAAAGGGGCCGTAAGCTGAACCCACATGCGCAAGAGCCTGGTCACAGACTAAACAGACGGTGGTAGCGAGGCTGGTAAACTACCTTTTATTGAAACTTCTTAGTCGACAAGAAACGCTCGCGATGTTATTGTTGCACTCGGTAAAAATCATACATAATGATGTTTAAGTAGTAACTAAAAATCTTTCTTTCATGTTCCGAATCAGTCGAATTCATGACCAAGGCCAAGGAGAACGTTTCTGGTTAAAATAAACTTTTGAAACAGTATTATGTTTCATCACGTTCTTGCCTCTAATTACCTGAAGGGTTCTTTTTTTCTAAGAAAAGAACATAGTTTACATTTTCCTGAGAAAAAGCAAACAACTCTAATGAAGATCACTATGAACTGTCCTGATGAATAGGATCAAGGTTTTAAGGTGACTAAAGTAGCATATTCCAGTGAGTCGACATTCTCCGCTACGAAATAATATTCTTTTTTTTTTTTTTTTTTTTTTTTTTCATGAAATTAACATAGTGGTGAGAACCTCAAATAAATCGATGTCAGTTGTATATCTTTCAAAAAGGGAGGTGTCTTATATGCAAAAGGATAATTTGCGTAAAATGACAAAGTTTGCGAGTTGACGGCAACCAATGTTTGTACAGTCTTTGCTTGTGATGTTTACCAAACCATTCTTCGCTGAAAGCTTCATTAAATCATACCCAGTTAACGCCAAGAACGAAAAATTCTATTGTTTGTCACAGCGGTAGGTATTAATGTTGACAAGGCATCCGATAGGCAAATGGTAGGTTTCTCTTTTAATTAAAAACTAAATACATATTTCTGGGGCAAGAACAAGAATTTTTTTCCTCAATAACAACATTTCTTACAAGCTTACTCATATTCACATTCAATTTCTTCTTTTCCCTTCCAGACATTTCCTTTTTGTATAATTTTTATTTTCGTGAAGAGGTGGCATTTTTTAACGTCAACAGGAAAGATCTATAGGTTTTTATGTCATGTGAATAATGAAAAAGGTTTCCTGATGGGCACAGACTTAGCTTTACGACTTTACTCAACATTGTCGATGATTCATCATCTCACTGAAACTAATTCTGCTGAAAAAAATTATCCGAATAAAAAATCGATCGCTGGTTTGCTAGATGAGAAAAAAAGGTGTCGACGGGGGAAACATGTAGGTAAGTCAGGGTTGGCAGGATTTTTTAATCGCTATTTTCCTAGAATATTTGCATAGTGGCAGGTGCCCTGGAATAAGAGACACGAACTAGCTCACTTCTTTAATTGGTCTCAAGGAAGTCACGTCGCCGACGAAGCGTTTGTCATCCTGGTTCAGTTGAATATTCATGTTCATCCTCTACATAAAGATATTTGAACAGCAACAACAAACACTAAGAACATCGGAGTCTACAGAGAATCACTGTATCTTTACACCGGAAAATTAACTCGCATCACTTCATGAGTTTTGGTTAGTTTTTGGAAATTCACCTTCCTTTACGACCCGTAAATTGCCCCAAAAGTCCGTTGCCGGAAACCGAGTGATAAATACAAAACAGTGAAAACCAAACAAAGATACCGCTAAGACGCCAACGCAATATTACGCACAGATAGAGAATTTTGGAGGCGCCTACAGTGATTGTAACGAGAAGCTTTTTTTCGATATAAACAAGATAACTATGAACGACTCGGGGAATTTAACTTTTGAGGAAGGGCAATCATCTGGAACTACAGCCGTGGTTGTTGCACAAAGTGTTTTTCTAACGCTAGTTATGTCAGTTGGAGCAGTCGCCAATAGCTTTATTTGCCGATGTATCCTCGTTCATCGCTCTTTGCGCACTATCACCAACTCGTTCATATTTAACCTTGCCGCCACAGACTTACTGTTATCTGTACTCTGCATGCCATTCGTGCTGGTCTCGTCTATCAAAGGGATATGGGTTTTTGGCGAGGTGATGTGCGTTATCACGGGATTTCTCCTTTCCGTCTTCTGTATAACATCCATATTGACCTTGGCTCTAGTCGCTATCGATCGCTACCTTGCGATCTGTCGTCCTCTGAAATATTGTACACTTGTAACGCATAGAAGCTGCTTGATGATGATCGTGTACGTTTGGTTTCATGCAGCTGTTTGCGCCATTATGCCAGTGTTCGGCTGGGGAGAAGGTTACAGATTTGTGGCTGTGGAATTTATTTGTCGACCTTCATTTGGCAAACCTTCTGTCGACAACGGATACACTTTCTTTCTGTTTCTAAGTTGTTTCGTGGCTCCTTTCTCGATCATCGCTTTCACCTACTTATCCATCTTATGCACCGCAAGGAGACAATTCAGACGGGTTCACCACCACAAAGGATTAAACGTTGGCGAATTGAGCAACGTAACCCAAGGCAATTCACAATTTAACGGAGAAACGACATTTGTCCGCACGCCCGAAAACACGGTGATCGCCGATGAAATCACATCTGCAACTAACACGTCTCGTGCTAAAAAGTTGTATGCCCCGAAAGCGATACGAAACAAACGAAAGCAGAAAGTGCGTGGTTTCAAAATGCTGTGGATTATCATAGTAGTTTTTCTTATCTGTTGGAGCCCGTATTTCTTACTTATATTTTACGGTTCCATAAATCACCAAAGTTTCTCGAAAGCAGTCAAAGTTCCCACAACTTTACTGACGTTTCTCAACAGCGCGTTAAATCCTTTCCTATACGGGTTTTTGAATGGAAAGTTTCGTGACAGCATGCGGAACTTTCTCGGGCAAAATATCACTTTCTGCAAGTGCTGGAAACAAACTGCGACAGAATCACATGTACATCACATTTATTAGATATTTTTTCTCAGTTTCTGTTTCGCATGTATGTGTCTCTTGCGCGTAACAATTAAAGTTGACAAATCGAGGACAGAAGACGGATAGCTGTCGCGGCCTTACATCGAATCATTTGTTTTAATTGTTATTTTACCTAGCAGTCACTCCCTGTTTACAATTGTACCCCCGACCAATTAACGATGAAGTCGAAACAAAGTTTTTCAGTTATGTTAGAGACAATAGATAAAAGGTCTCAAGGCTTCTTTCTGAATACAAATGATGTGATTGGTTTACCATTTGGCTTATTTCTCAAAACACTAAACGCCTTCGGCTTAGTTTCATTGTAATCGTGTATGCATTTCACTCCGATTTCCAATTTCATAAACCACAGCAGGTGGAGCTTGGCGAAATACATTTCGCTCCTTTGGCAAAAATTATTTCAAGTTAACAAGTTCATCGTGTACTTGTTTTATTTTGTTTCGTTGCCAATGATCGTCGTTGTTCCGTTTTATTTTGTTTTCAAAAAAGGGTTTAATGTAACTCGAGACTGAATTTCCTCCATTCACCTTCTCATGAAAAATCTGATAAATTTTTGACTCACTGGAGGAAAATACAATTATTCACTGAAAAACCATCCTGCAATCTATTAAACACCATTGTGATTCTTTTGACTCCCCAAATTAATTTTATCTTTGTTCTAAGCAATTCCAAGCGCATAATTAATTGAGGAAAAACATTCTGACTTAAAGTTTTGCCTCAGGCTACTTCGTGATAACCTTTTTTACTATTTCAACCGGATGGGCTAGTCATTTTTATGAAGCTCTCCGACGTTGCTTTTAAAATATGTAAAGTTCTACTGATGGGCTAACTTTCTAACAGAGTTGACCTTAGCCTGACAGCTGCAGAGACATCCGAATCGCAAAAGCGCAAACCTTGGCCGTTTCTTTACAAGGTCATCGTGCACCACTCGCTTTGAAACGGCGTAAAGTTTTTTCGATCTCAATCTTTAGTGCTACAAACGCAGGGCAAAAGTAGCGACTCACAGAAGCATTCAACCCAGCAATATCAACATTAACAGTGGAATAGAACTTGTAGGAGCATGCATGCCCTCGATTAAGAGACACCAAAACTGGAGAGCTGTACGGCAGCGGACAGCTGAGGGAACAAATATTCCGAATACGCTTTTCACAGCTGTTGAGAACGAGCCAATCACAGCGGAGTATATGCTTTGTAACCAGCCGTTACCGCCCGAGAAAGATTAGCAATCTGTTATCGAACTTCGCGGTTACATCAAAAGTGAAAACATCGATCGTAAGACGGTAAATAAAAATTCATTAGCAGAGACAACTCTTATGTCTTTACTTAGCGGATTTATGTCTTTTCCCTTTAATTCGGAATTTTTGGCAAAAATGTTGAAATAAACGTATATCATAGCAAAGATCATTGTATCCCCAAATTTCAAAATGCATGGCATTAGTTTAATTAAAAAAATTGGTTAAAGCTTTGAAAAGCCAAAACTCAACGTTGTAAGAATCTGTTTTTTGTACCCTACTCAAAATTCTTTGGCCCTGCAATACCTATATTGATGTTATAAAAAATTAAAAGAGAAATTTTTGAAACTCTTCGTTTTACCTTAAAATTCTGGAAATATAGAATCATATAAATTTATATGGGAGGTCTCTCTTATGCGTCGGCGAGCAAGGGAAAGCACTTAGTTTAAAGACACAAACCGGCGCAGCAAAATTTGCGTGGTTGTTTAATATTTTTTTTAAGCGATATTTTGTTGATTAACATCCCGCTTTGTGGTATTGCAGTAATGTAAAATCCGGCTTCCTCCAGTATGCGGTGACACGGTTCTTTCGCGATAGTCAATAACCCTTGACATCCTTGTCTAAAATCAGTTACAAATTTAGCTTATTTCACTGACAAAATTCCACACAATTCTAAAAGGGACTTGAAATCAAAGTTTTGAACAAGAAGCATGCAATACTTGATTAAGGACACATCAGACATGAAAGATCAGTTTTATATCACTTTATCCACAGGACATGCAAGTAATATGATCTTGTAACATGGTCAGTTGTGAGCGAATATGAATCATATTACTATGTCCGTGTTTCGCAGACTTCGTGTACGAAAATACGATTTCTGTAAAGATAATTTTGAAGTGTTGCGGCGTTCAGAGTTTCGCAAAGTCCACCTCTTCGAGATGTGGGTTGTGTGTCAGTGTCTACTTATATAATTAAAAAAGGGGGTGAGTTTCTGATGCAACTGTGGTGAAGCGTCAAATGAATAAAGGGGGTGTAAGTTTCTAAATAAACTGTGGTGCTGTGTCAATGGGAGGGTATAGCAGGTAATTTAGTGTTAACAACTGAGTTGAAAACGTAAATTAGCCACCGCGAAGGGTAAAAAAGCTAAAATTTTTTTTTTAACGTTTCGAGCGTTAGCCCTTCGTCAGAGCGATTGGAGGAATTGTGGGTTGTGTGTGGGTTTGGAAAGTGGAGCTACGCCATTGGTGGGAATATGATGACGAGAAAACAGGAGTAAATTAGTTGAATGAAAAGCGCTCGTTGATTCCGTGGGGATTAAGGGTGCCGATTTGGAAGATAAATTTTTGTTCTAGTGTTTTGCGGCTTTCCGAACTGCCTAGATGTAAGGAAAGGCCGCAGACTGCCATATGCTGTTTAGAATGATTAGGGAATGATTGTGGTGCTGCGTCGTTGGGGGAGTAGAACAAGATAATTTGGATTTTATCAAATTAATGTAACTTGGCCACCGTAAAGAGTTTCTAAGCTGACGCTTCGAGCGGTAACCCTTCGCCAGAGCGTTAGCCCTCCGTCAGAGTGTTAGCCCTTCGTCAGAGCGTTAACCCTTCGCTCTGATGAAGAAATAGTGCTCCGGACGTCAGCTTAGAGACTCTATCACATTTTATGAACTTCAATGGCCTGGGCTTTCCTTCTATAAGACTTTAATTCCATCTGAAGAGAGACGGCAAAAAACTGGCTTCCTTAAGCTGCTACACGTGATTGTCATGAGTGTAACCTGTGAGTAAACCCTCGTTCGAAGCGCTGCAGGACGCGCGTTTCTCCGCTCGCGGGAAAGGGGTGCCAGGGGTCTGGAACTTATAATTTTTTATGTTAAACCCCTTGCAGAACTCTCGCTAGCTTGCAATGCTCAAGGCCTTATACTCTTCCCTGGGGGAGGAGGGGGAGAAACGCTCCTGCTGAAGCGGTAACGATGATAGCCTCGCAAGCTATCACGAGTGAGAAAACTTTATGTGATCGGATCTGAGAGAAATGGTCGGAAATGAAGATAAATCCAAATGGAATCAGTACATATCCTCGTTTCCCTTTGGATGAATACTTAAATTCTGAAATTAAAAAAAAAAGAAAATTAGAGTGAAGACGACGAAGGACGTAAAGAAATGAGCTCGCAACTAAGTGCCGGGTAAAAAAAAAAAGTTCAGGTATAAGCACTTTTAAAATCCCAGGTAGCAACTCGAGTTGAGACTGTTTGCCAGTTACATGTTTGGGCTGCCATTAGGGCCTGTCCCGTTTCAATTTGTTGGGAAAATTTTCTTTTGTTCTTTTTGGCAGAAAATTTCTACTTCTTTCTTTCGGTCATTGAAAAGGAAACTTCATCAGTCACTTTTGCTTAATATTTCTTTGTTAGCGTCAGAACTTAACCGAGAAAATTTGGATTGACATGTTAACCCTTTTACCCCAAAATTATAGTTTCTATATTCTCTACACTGTTCTTTTTACATTTCCCATGGTACTGACAAGGAGAATCTGTTCGACAATCAGGAGCCTCTTCAATTGGCGATCATTTACTTTTTTTCTATGACCTTTACATTTGATTCAAGAGTGATGTTGTGAGGAGAATTTAGAATCCATTCGCTCCTTGTTCTGATCGTTACTTTTGAATTCATTTCACTGATTGTTGTAACCTCGACGGGCTTGAACATTGCACGAAATGTTTCAAATCGTTTGAAATAACAAGATTTTTAACTTGTTCAAAGCAATACTCGCGCGATTATACCTTTCAAACTCTCGGGATTCTTTTTTATATCTTCACTCATGAGAAGGATTCAACTGATTTTAACATGGCTTTGTGGAAAAATTGCCTTTAATCTGCTGTAGACAACTTAGCTTACGCAATAAGTAGCAGGCAGCTAGTATCATTGCTTTGTCCAAAACTTTATATTATCTTCGCGCTTATAAAAGAGAACAAAAGCGCCCTGGTTTGTTTCAAAGATAAAAATGCTTTCAGAGCTTTTCGAGACATCATTGAATTGTTTTTGCTAAAACAATTGATATAGAACCTCCTATTGGTTGATTATAACCAAATTTATTCATCCCGGCTTGCTTTCTTTCACATCATAAATAATAAAATTTCGCTCAGGGCATACGAATTGAGTCGGAATTAACCGAAAAATTTCCTCAACGTCGCCTCCTCTTCACATGTGGCAGTTTTTTGTTTTAGTAGAACTTCGTCGTTTGATCAAACTGAACTGCGAGTTGGTAAAAAAGCGATTCAAAGCCAATGGCTGGGAGCGAAGAGAAAATACCTCTAGTTCAGGTAATTATTAATTCTCATGTATTGAATCCCCTCAAAGGTAATACCGTGTTCGGAAATTTTATCCTAATTCAGTAACATAGACACCACAGTCAATCTAGTAACTTTACCGACTCAATAAAATGAATTTCCCTCCATTGCATAACTACGGTTTTGACACGTTTCACTGTGTTGTATATGTTTTTATTTTACAATTTGACGAAGGCAGAAGATTAAAGATTATACTGATTATTTCAGTCGAACATATACATACAGATGATGGAGAGCTTCAAAGCTTTAAAATTGAATTATTTGAAATTCCCTTCTGGGTACGTGCTATAAAATAGTATTCGATTCTCTTCCTTCCTAATGGCGTTGCATTTCTTAAAGAGTCTGTTGAATAGCAATGATAATAAAAAAAGTTATGACATTTCGCTCGCATCAGTGAGTTCCTCATTCAACACAACATTTGATTCAATAACATGCAATTTGGAAAAATAATAAAGAGAACAAAAAAAACACGCCGTCATGTTACGTTTGATTTCTTCACAGCTTCTTCTTGTCAAGGTGACGCCGGTTTGAATAGGGCTTAGTAGTAGACTTAAAGCGCTCAACAAAAACCCCCTGGTAAAGAGCGCTCATGCAGTCTTTTATCATTTAGATTGGGTCTACCGTCGAGTTATTGGGTCGCATTTTTGCAACTTCTACTGTCACTTAAATTTAATTTTTTGTCGCAGGGATCAAACAGTAAGCTAGAAAATGGCCAGGACAATCAAACTGCGACATCCAACGCTTCGACTCACATCGGTAAAGGAGATGACAGTTCACTCTTTGTCGGCGGGCAAGACGAAGAACATTTATACGACTTCGCAAGTGAAAGCACCAGCCCTGCTGCATCTGAAACAGACAAACGGCAAAATCTGGAGGACACCACAACGTAAGCATTATACCGTCTCATACCCGAACAAATTCCAATCAATATCAGCGTCGCATTATTAATATCAGCCGAAATTTTTTATCAGATCTCATTGATTTTTTTGACTGTCTTCATATGCAGTAACATGCAGACATTGATGCATCTTTGGAGAGGAAACGTTGGAACAGGTATGCTGGGATTGCCTGAGGCGATGATGCATGCTGGGATTGTGGTAAGTTTTGACATAGAATTCTGAAAAGCTGATAGCTAATGTATAACTCTGCTAATAGTAACTAAAGTTCTCTCAACAACTGGATCTAAGAACAATTTATCGCCAACACGGATGTTCTGGAATGAAAAAAAAAACAAACAAAACAAACAAACAATAGTCATAAATACCTAAATCATTCCCCTTTCCCCCTGCAGGTGGGTCCATTAGCACTATTAGCAGTTGCGGGAATCACAATCCATTGTATGCATCTGTTGGTCAAATGTAATAATATTTTATCTCTGAGGTAAGTACAGCGCTGTTCAGCTCAACTGGTGTTTCTTAAATGTTACCTGAAACAGTTACTCTAAGCCACTTTGCCTCCAGACCCTCGGCCATGGAAAAAAAAAGGTAGTACTCCTCCCTACCCCATACAGACAGTGTCGGTCCATAGTAGGTCATTTATATTATACTTGAGGAAGAAACCCTTAACTCTTGGACCCATGAGTGACCAAGAAATAATTTCTCCATACAAGATCAATACAATATCAATCAGACAGGATATGAGGATAAAGGTAAATATGTATTAAGGGAATTGTAGTTGATCCAATACCAAATTCTCCGAGCTAACATCATAAGAATTGTACAGCAGACAGTAAGGAGAATTACTGATGAGATCTTGGGAGTGGAAGTGTTAATTAGCAGACAAAGGGACCCTTATCTATCGCCTGGGGAGGGAGGGTTGGTTTTTCGGAGAATTTTGATTTTTCACAATAAAACTTACCTGATCCCCCCTCATTGGCAGTCAATTTTTTTTTATTATAAACCTCCCTTTATACTCTGTCAACGACGACTGATCCCCCCGGACAATAAATAATACCTGGT